TGTAAGTATAGAATATTTTATAATCCAACATTAAAAATTCATCATCGGAAGTTTTCTTACCATAGTGGTAATTTGTCGATCCATTGATCAAAAAAATACTGCTGAAATTGTTGAATAAGTGAATCAGTGGACCACTTTTTCATTACTAACGATACACCGTGAGTAAATATATTATCGGAAAAACATAATTGTAAATCATGTATATCAGTATCAATTTATTGCCCTTATCTGTTGGAACCAATTTCCTATGTTCTCGGCATTTTCGAACGACATGTGCCCAACACATAAGACGTCGTGCTTGAGGGAAAATCTCCTTTTGAACTCTGGTTATTCCTAAATATAAAACTTTCAAATACTTAAAGAATTAAGATAGAAGTATATATTACCAGGTGCACCATCAGTCATTACGTAATGTACAATATATTCACGTTGGTTTTCTTGTCCTGATATAAGTTTTAGTTGCTTAAACAAATCAATATAACATGCTGAACCTTCATCGCTAGATACTAAGGCTACACCGAATGACCGGAAATGGCGATCAGCATCTGATGAACCAGATACTGATAATGGTAGTTCATTCCATGTAAGCTTGTAAGTTGCATCCACTTGTAATAAGGATGATAATTGTGTATCTTTTAATAATTGTTTCGTTGTAAACAATACAAAAATGTCATTGATATCATTAATATAATAATAAGGTACAAATGTCGAATGGATGAGTTTTCATCATATTTATGATTAATACACTATTGATTAAAATCATAAACCGAAAATATTTCAGGATTATTTTTTCGTCGAGCATAGTTAATTAAATTCGATAATTGATTAGTTGACATTGAAGCTGTTGGATCGTTCACAAATAATAAATTTTTAATTTGAACTTCCGTAAGATTGCATTGAACGAAGTTTGAAACTAATTCACGTACAGGTGATGGTGCACGAGTTGTTGTATTACGCTGTTCATGGCAATGTACATTTTTATACATTAATTTTATTTCTGTTAGGTAATTGTTATCAACATAAACTTGTATTTCGATTTTGCATAATGGATATTTTCGATAATTGCTGCATCGATAAGAATATTTAGTAGAGCTCGATAAATCAGACGTTCGATATTTTGATACATTATGCTCCTTTAGAATAACATCAGCTTCATCTAGTGTTTTGACGATTTTTAAAATCTGATATTCTTTACTTGACATATTTTTTCTACTGATAACTTTTATTTTTTTACACTTCTTTTATATACAAATCATTACTCCAATTAATTATATTATTTATGAATTGCCATTGGATTAATCAATATGAGTAGAGCTAATCATAATTTAATAGCAAAAATACCTATTAACTATAATCTTAATTAGTTTAAAGCTTAATTGATATATTTTGTACTGTTTTTCACATATAATCAATTTGGTGCTCATTTCACCTTTTTTTCGGTGCTCAAAACACATTTTTTCGAAGATAGCAACTAGCTTTATTTATGCTGTTTGATACTACAAAATTAATCATACCTCCCATGGCGTCAAAATTATAAGGAAACGGTCCATGAAACGCATTCCTATCATACATTAAAACGTTTCAAGGCATTTCTTGTGAGAAATAATGCGTTTTACTTCGTTTCCAATAAAAAAAATGCATTTTGGAACGTTTATTTTTCGAAACGACGCAAAACGCATTGGTTATTGAAACGCATGTTGAAGCGTTTGCAGGAAAGAAACGCTGTGGGGTGAGACTTTTGTTCATTTTATCAAAACGACGCAAAACGCGTTGATTATTGAAACGCATGTTGAAGCGTTTGCAGGAAAAAAACGTTGTGGAACAAGACTTCTGTTCGTTTTATCACAATGATATTCGACTTACGATGGTAAATTCAATCTAAGATAGAGAAAGCAATACATTTACAGCTCTTGAATATTGTTCAAAAATAGTGCCACAGAATCACTGAAGAACTTGACTTAAGAAAGAAAAATAGATTAATTTACGTTGGTTAATATAATTACAATGATCATACCTGAGAATTATGATGCTCAATTCAATCTCAGATAGAAAAAGAATGTTATTAGTATTTTCTTCACTTTCATTAAAATGGTTACATACCTGTGGTTTCTGACGGTGACTTTCATCTAGGAAGAGAAATGGAAATTAAGACATAGTAAATTTCATTCTAGCACCCAACGAGTGAAAAAAAGATGACCCACTTAAATATAAATTTTAGAAAGGAACTTACTACCGTTATTTATTTCGTGCTAATAATATAACTGCGATCTATGAAAATGAACTTGATTGGTAGGAAACGAAATTTACTCTTGATTTTGATTTTTCTTACAATATCCCAGGTCAATGATTCCGGAGGACGGATACTGTAGGAACCAGCCGGAAAGATGCGGAAAATCACCGTATCTGGCCGGAAAGCACTGGAAGAAGCAGTATTCCAGTTGGAAGTTACCGGATTTTTTTCCTGTGGATTCCGGTCAGTTTCCTGTGTTTTCCGGTCAGTTTTCTGTGTTTTACATCTGGAAGTTGATCGGAATCTACAGGAAGAAAATCCGGTAACTTCCAACTGGAATACTGCTTCCAGTTTCCAGCGCTTTCCTGTGCTTTCCGTCCGTTTCCCGCCGTACGTCCACGACCTGGGATCACGTCTGATAATTATGATAATGAACTTGATCTAAAATAGAGAAAGGAAATACCTTCATGTTCTTGAACATTATGACAATAATTATATCTGAAAATCATGATGATGAACTTGACTAAATATAGGAGATCTAGATTGATTCATGTGTTTCGATTTTGTAACAATAAGCATACCTGCAACGTAAGGTGATGAATTCGATCTAAGATAGAAAAGTAAATAGATTCATTCTTCTTGAATGTTACGACAAAATCATACCTGAAAATCATTGTGATCAACTTGTTTTGAGACAAAAACGTACGCCATTCATTTTGAATATGATTAGAGTAATAGTAGAAAAAAGGATGATGATGATGAACATGATCTAAGAGAAAAAGAAAAATTGACCAGTTGTTTTTGAATATTATGAAAATAATAATACCTGAAAATGTGAGGTCGTGAACTCGACTGAAGATAGAAAAAAAATAGATTAAGTAACATTGTTTAATTTTTTGATTGTAATAATCATGGATGCGAATTGTGATTGATAGTTTCAAGTAAAATATAGAAAAGAAATTCATTCCTGTTCTTCGAATTCATTAGAACGATTCTACTTGATAGTTATCAGAGTGAATTTGATCTACGCTCGAGAAAAGAAATATACAATGTTGATTTTTTGGGAGTTCACTCGATTAGTGATGCTTGTGTAATTTGATATCGAGTAAAATGTTCCATACAATATCATAAATAAGAAAAATATGAGAATTGGAATGTAAGTTAAAACATAGTTACCAAAAAATACCTCTTCGGGATGCAATGAAGAGAAAAAAATGTAACTATTTAAAAATATTTTGATCAGAAACAAATACTCGAAATCTAATTCTCAATCTTAAACATAAAAATACTATGTAACAGTCCAAATACAGTTTGAAACATATGAAAGGTTAAAAATATTGATTTTATATTCAGAAAATCCAATTTCTAATATTCTTGTGAACCATAAGAAAAAAATCGGCACCATGTGCCTGTTTATATAAAGTGAACTAATTCATGCAGTATCTGAAAAAATTGATCTACCAACTAGCTACAACAGTGACGAATGAATTTTTGAAGATTCAGTGAATTGGATATAAAAAGTGGCAGTCTTTTTAGATTTTTTTATATGAGTATAGACAAGGGATATGATATTTGTACTGCCGATGCCTAGGCGAGAACATATCTAGTAAGTATCTTGACTGGATCGTCTTAAAAAAGCATAAAAAACTATGTATACAACAATAAACTGGTTATAGTTTATTTGTATGAAGTGTATGGAATCTAAAAAGTTCTTTAAGAAAAGGTGTAAAGTTATTTTAAGAAAATTGTAAAACCACCCGAAAGTTTACAGAACTACAAATCATTTCGTAAAGCTTATGCAAAACCACCAATCACCGCCATGAAACTGAATTTTTTCGCGGAAAACATACGAAAACATACGAAACCATAAAATCAATAATATGAAGACGAAAAGTTCAGTGCAAATAATTGTAAAGCTTAAGGTCTTGTACGAAACCTTCAGTTAAAAATCGGAACCATCAGAAACTTGCTCGATATGCTACGAAACTATGTTTAATTTTGAGAAACTAACAATGGATTAGTATTTCACGTGCGAAACCATTGACCAGTTGGCGGAACTAACAGAAAGTTTGGTTGAAAATTTGCAAAACCCTGTCTTTTCTTCTGAACTTGTAAACGTTTGGCATAATTATTACTACGAAACGATTTTCACTTCACCGAACTAAAAATCGTTTAGATCAAATATACTGAACCACTGAAGTTCGGCATCAAACCTATTTTTTTTAAAGTGTACATAGTATCACTTCGAAAATAAAAATCGAGCACTCATATAGTCACAGCAAAAAGCAAAAGATAAAATTTATCCTATTTATAATTTATATAATTCGCGCTTAGATATCATGCCTAAGCTAACTAAGATTATTCCTCGACTTCCTAAATCCTGCCTGTGATTGCTGAAACTACTACTGTAGTTGCTAGAAACGAATTTCCGGTTTCGAACTGAATACACGACCCGATAGATGCAATATCGAATTTGCTGAAGCTGCGCCTCCTCTTCTCGCAAATATGCGAAAGTCATTTGCTGACAAACTAAAGCATACACCTGAGGCTCTTGAGCGCTTATAATGATCTCAGTTTTGTTCGAAACAATCTCACCTATGGTATTAGCAATCGTGCGAATGCTACTAATAACATCATGAATGCTACTGCTAATATGGACAACTAAATTTCAATTATATAAAATATACATAGGATAAGTGTTAAACTTTTGCTTTTGCTAGTGCAAGATAGGATTTTTGAAAAATTTCATCTATATTCGAACTCGAATTAGACAGCTACCCGTTTTTTGTTAAATATTTCATGTCGAATATTTACTTTCAAGAAACTAGTTTGATTAGAATTAACGCAAACGTTTCTCACTCAATGAAGATTGAGTAAAATGGATATTATTTTTAATGAATAAATCCCACTATGGGTACAGCCCATACTAAACATTGCAAAAATGAATTCAGCACGTTTCCATCTTAATTCAGTTCTATTCAAGTCAAATATTCATGTTGTGTTTGAAAATCAATTAATAAAAGAGCATTCGTTTCAAAAGACAAACATGCCCAATTTCATCTGATAAGATTTTTAATATTTGTTAGAGGATCACTACTAGTATGATGGTATAAGCAACCATATATAAACATGTTCTGAAAGAATGAATTCGATAAGCTTGAAAATATCCGTAGAGATGATATTCATATTTAACCGGGTGATGTTTCTCCGCCGGATGTCGCTCTCATCAAATCTGAAATAGGGCAGCAAATACAAGAGAGGAAAGTCGGCGTAATTCGTTTAACATTATTATTGGTCAATTCGTTATACAACACGAATAAAAGATAGTGTGTGCTTTTGTTTGTGATTTTTCACATATCATTAACATCTTCTTCTTGCTTTTAAATACTTAAATCATGTCAGCACCAAACACAAAACAAATCAAACTCGATGGTATATTATTTTAATTTATTTTCAAATGAAAAAGTTCAATAGAAATATTCATTTTCTGTTTTTTTAGAAGCTGAAATGCAAAAGGCTTTTGAGGTTATTGGTGATGTTCAAAATGAAATCGATCGTCTTAATGAACAAGCCAGTGAAGAAATTCTTCAGGTCGAACAAAAATATAATAAACTTCGACAGCCAAATTATAAGAAACGTATATTTTGTGTAAAGCGATTAAATGAAAATAAATTTCATCTTCACTTATTTTCAGGTTCAGATTTAATTAGCAAGATTCCATCGTTTTGGATTAGTGTTTTTCTCAATCATCCTCAATTATCAAGTTATTTAGATCAAAACGATGAAAATATTTTACAATATCTTAAACGTGTTGATGTCGAAGAAGTAAAAATTAAGAAAATAAAACTTCTAAATTTGTTTCATTTTTGTTTAGCATGACGATATCAAATCAGGTTATCGTATTAAATTTGTAAGGCTATCATTCATCTTGACTTTTTTTTCTGACATAGTTTTATAATTTAGACATTTGATACAAATCCATATTTTGAAAATGATGTTATTGTTAAAGAATTCAGTGTAACTGAATCAAGTGAAACAACATGTAAATCAACAACCCTTCGATGGAAAAATGTTTGTAAAAATTATTTTTCATAAAATAATCTTTTGAATTTTGAATTTTCAAAAGGAGGCCAAAAATGGTCAATCAGCCAGTAGTAGTAAAAGAAGTGATGGTGAATCACGTAAACGTGCTCACGATACAGAGAATAATAATAATGAACATGGAGCATTTATGACTTGGTTTACAGATACAACTGGTGAAGCTGGTAATGATGAATTCGGTGAAGTTATTAAAGATGATATCTTTGTTAATCCTCTTCAATATTATTTGGTAGGAGAGTTAACGATTTCTTTTTAGTTGTTTTGAAGAAGTTTTTGTTTTGTAGGCTGCAACAACAAATGATGAAGAGGAAGGTAGTGGCGGAGAAAACGATGAAGAAGATGACCTTGAAGTAAGATCTTAGTTCATAAATGAAAGTTTTATTAATTCTATACTTTTTTTCGTAGGAAAAAGACGATGAACAAGAATAAAACATCGGTTGTATATTGACATTTTTCTGTTTTTTTTTGTTAATCTAAACATTCTCTTTTTTTTCTATTGATCGAATCATAACTACTTGTATGACATATGATTGACCCGGTTATATAAGTGTAAACATATATGATCTTGTATTTGTATGCAAATATCAATAAGTGTTTATCTTAATAAACTGGAACGTTAGAGAAAAGCAATATATATTCACAGTCTTGTGATTAATGTTTTAAATAAAAGAAATGTTCATCAATTTAATAAGATTGAATTGCATGCCATTACAATTTCATAATAAAAAAAAATCAAAACATTTGTTGGCATCTTGAATAAATACACAGAAAGAGCTTTTAAAAATTTGGATATTTTTGTCTAGCTACTCGATTAATATAAATAATGCATGATAGTTACTGGGTTGAGTAGGATTGTTACATAGAGTTTTCATTGTATCATGGAACATATACCAGTGAGACAGGCTTATATACAAATTTATTGGATTGATTTGTTATGCTTATCTGTTCAATTTCTCTCCAAATGTTTTTTCCAGAGAGCAAAGAAAAATGTCATTCCGGTACCTATTATATTCACAGTATTGATAAGTGGAGAAAAATTGGACTGTTGGATCTTGAAGATTTTGCAATCTATAGTATTTTGGCGTTACTCTCTCTGCCACTATCTTCATTATTAATAATAAAAATATGTGTGACACTTGGATTTTAACTTAAGTTATTTATTAACACAAAATCATTCTTTGTCCCTCAACATAATTGAACAATGTATGTATTTTTGCGTCTATGTAGACCTTTATTCATATATGTTTTTAGCTGTTCCCTTCACACACGCATACATATTCTGCTAAATAATTAACATCAAAAGAGAAAACAAAAAGAGAAAACAAAAGAGTTTAAGTGTATATATCACGCAAATCTTTGTTTAAGTATTTTTTTACAGAAATAAGAAGAACAAAAAAAGAAAGAAAAAAATGAACATACATAAATAATCTCTCGTTCATACGTTTCCTTTTTGGATAAATAAAGATAAATGTTGAACGAGAGAGAAAACTCTCACCGGGTTTTGAGGTTTGTTCATTAGAAAATAATGCAGGAATATCGAGTTTATTTATACATATTATATGGCACATAAACAATCTTTTAATTTCCATTAACTTTTCGACGACACGTCGGACATGAATCATTTTCACCAAGCCATGTTGAAATACATTCAAGATGAAATAAATGTGTACAATGTAATTTATTAATTATTTCTTGATCATTAAATTCAGATAGACAAATAGGACATTTTTCAGCTAAAAGTATTGATGATGTTGTTGTATCAGATTTATTAATAAATTTTATTTTTGGCAAGGCATTTATTTCATCTTGCGTTAATCGTGATGGAAAATTTAAATTGAGTATGCGAGATAAACGTATCATACCCTTTACAAACACGAAAAGAAGAAAGTCTTTCTTTAGAAAAAAAATCAGAACAAAAGATATCGGTATTTACTTCAATATTTTCAAATTCATTTCTTGTACTTAAACGACCATAAATAAGACCGAAAACAAGTTGATCAAAATTATTTACAGCACCTTCGAGAGATTGTATAGAATCAATAACAATTTCAATAGCACGATTAAGACGAACATGAGCTACCCCACCAGTAGTAAAATCCTGATTATCAATCGATATTAAATTTGTCGGATCAGTAGATGTACGAGAACTATAGATAAAAGAAAAAGAATTTCAATTGGAAACTTTATTTTTCTCCCCCCGATATTTACCGTGTATTATGTCCAGTATTGTTGGCTGTTGATCTTGCTATTCGACGAGGCTGTGATTGTATGAATTCATCATCTTCGTCATCTGTTACTAAATTAAAAGTTGTATTAACCATGGATGCTGATGGTTGCGTAGTTGTATTTGGTGAATCATCATCATCAGATATGTAAACAAGACGATATTGTCTTGGCTGAACAATTGATGATGATGTTGGTTGATCTGATTGTAGAAGTGTAGATTGTATTTGACGACGAGCACGGCGTGGAGCTGTAATTGGATGTGAAGTTGAAACTTGTGGTAAATAAATTTGGGATGATGGTAGTTGTCGCGGTCGTAAATTGTATCGTTGCGAACTATTTGACGTATCAACAGATGATAGTCGTGTTGATGAAGGTCGAGTATCGGATGTTAGGGAACGATTCCGTAGTGAATAATTTGTACGTGATGATATCGACGGAGCTGTTGATGGTGGTGGTGGTGGTGGTGGATTATTACGCTGACGTTTAGGAAGAACAGCGGTACTATTTGGTTGATTCGAAACAATAGATGATGTTGATGTTGATGTTGCTTGTTCAAGATCATGATTACTTTCAGAAACATTTGTTGAACGAGTTCGTTTTCGGGACACCGTTGAAGTTGGAGGCGTCATTGTTCACGTTTGTGGATATGTTCGGACAGCAGACAGCTTATAAACAATGAATAAACAAGAAAAAAAGGGAATTTTATGAATAGTCTATGAATAATGATCACGTTGATGAACCCGATCGTTGACCTATGCAGTTAAATACTAGTCGGAATGGTAAAATTAGCTTGTTTGTTGTTATTTCTGCGTATTTTCAACAGTTCTTAGTATAACCAATGGATGGTGGCTGTTTGATAGATGCCGCTAATTTGTAGGACTAGTATGAGTACCCTAGTCGAACTTTTTTTTATTCTTGCGCTTGCAAGACTTAAGTTCAAGATGTGTCCATAGCGCATGACTTTCTTGCTCAAGACAAGCGCTTCAATGTTTACATGAGTTACAAACAAAATGCAACTATACATTTTTATTACAAGTTGAGTTATTTTGAACGTAAAACTGAAAAAAAATTGAAAAAGTTCTTGACTGTCTTGATCAAGAAAGTCAAGAATTGCATGCGTTTACAAAAAAAAAGTTCGACTAGGGATATTTATAAGCACTTCGCATCCATTTAAATCAATCAACAATTTTGAAGAATTTTTCATCGTGTTTATTTTTTCTTGTACCGCGATGAAAGTAACTTTGTGATTACAGACAGAATTGCAAAAAAATGTGTTTATACGACGTGAACAATCTATCCATATCGGAGAAAAATGCAGTCATCAGCGATCTTTTTCATGTTATGACTATAATTCTCGTCAACTTTCAACTCCCTTCCTCCAAAGCAAAGCTATGAAATAACAAAACCCTTGTTTGGATGAATACTTCTCAATTGTTTCTTTTTCTTTTATTTGTTTTGTAGAAAAATGTTGATAAATTGAAACTTTTCACTTCAATAACAAAGAAAGGTAGGAACGTCACGAGTATCGTTCTAGGCAAATTATTTTCGATATCAAACAATTTATCGCAGTCGAAAACAATTGAGCGGTAGTAGTTGTCAACGAGAGAAACTCATGATTATAATCAAATTATACGACTTCTTTGTTTTAAGTTATATGTAACTATAGAAAATTTCTTTATTTATGGCATGCAAAACAAATTTTCAAGCTTCGAGAGGGGCCCTTGTTCGCTCATGAAGCCTCTGATATTTGATCAATCTGCTTGTTTCTGTTATTGGTTAATTTTCATTGAACGTAACAACCATTGATAAACGAGCGCTAGACACATTTCTCTGGGTGTGGTATTTATTGATTGGATGAACCAGACAGTTGACTTTAACCATTTGATAGGAAAAATAATAATAATCTTTTTTGAACCCAGCTGATAGCAGCTGTTGTATCGACAAAAAGAGACAAAAGAATAAGTTTATTTTAGTTTGTAGATAGATAGGTAAAAAATCCTAGTAGACATATTAAAACACCATGGAACCTGTGTGAATATTGAGAACAAGAAAAATGATGACTGGTGCTGTCATTAATCACGGCAAAGTCGATTCAATTTGGAAAGATCGAATTGAACGAGCACTGAAGCATATTTGTCGTGCAATTGATCTCAGGCAAAGACGTGATATTGTGTAAGTATTGATTGCACGTGCTTTTTCCTACGATTAAATGCATATTTGCAGACCAATACTGAAAACGCTTGGCGAGCAAGTTGAACAATTTAATGCATCAAGACGTCCACGTATAATTTCTGAATGGTTTTCGATAGAAAACAAACGTTCACTTTACACAACTAGTTCTTATGATGAAGTATCTGGTGATGAATTAACTTGTTCAGTTTCAATTTTACCTCAAGTTGATCAAATACCGAATATGTTTACGTATGTGCCATTACAAAAAAATATTCTCGTAAGTTTAAATTGATGCATTTTTTAGAAGATTTACTTTTTTTATATTTCAATTTTAGTGTGATACAGTGACAAAACTAGCAGATTTACTTTTAGATGAAGAAGATGAAGATATTAAAAAGCTTCTAAATTCCGTGCAATCGGATACATTAGTTGAAGAAGAAAGTCAGAATCAGAGTTTGTATCTATTGGTTGTTTCCTAATTCTGATTTGGATTTTAGCGCTTCGCTCTGGTTCAATAACGAGACGTTCACGTCGTTCCACAAAAACACCAACAACACGGGACAAAAATAATGAGTATATTTTCGACGACGAACATCTTATGGAACTATTAAAACGTCTTAAACAACAGCCAGGACATGCCTCGACACCTATGGGAGCAGACGATGAATCAAATTTGTTCGATACACTAATCAGTAAGTAGAGCATAATTTTATAAAATAATTCTCTGACGATGACAAATATTCAAAAAGAAAACAAGCGAGCCTACTGATTTCAGTAAATTGCGTATATCATTTTTGCCCGAAAGTCGAGTTAATTAATGAACTTTAGCATATATAGATATCCATTGATTCTTTTTTAGAATTGTATCCATCGTCAGCGGATTTAATTCGTGATCGATTCGGCACAATATTTGAAAAACGTGGTGCTCAATCAAAAGAATTTACACCTAATGTCGACAATCCAGTATTATCACTTGATACAACTGTTGAAAATACGTTACACTCATATTTCATGCTTTTTTGTCGTCGTTGCTATCAATATGATTGTTATATACATAGAGACAAGCAAGCTTTACCTGATCTTAATGTTGAACCTAAAAATATTAGTTCAATTTACCGTCCGTGTAGTCGTTATTGTCACCATATAGATTCAACACTAGAGGCAAAAGCAAAAAATGAGTTTAAACGAAGTCATAGTGAATTATCTGATCATGCCAAATCTAAAACTTCTACTAATGGCTTTCATCCAAAGCCGTCTAAAGTTAGCTTAATTAAAAGTGAACCCGCATCACCAGTTAATTTATTATCCAATGGTTTTCGTTTAAAGCCATCATTAAAACGTAAATTAAACGATGAATTATCTGATTGGTCACCAAGTGATAAATCTTTATTTCGAGTTTTTCATACAATTTATGGTAATAATACATGTATGATTGCTAATCTACTTGATAAGTCATGTTTACAAGCTTATTTCTTTTCTACAAATGATATTGAAACAAGTAAAAAGAACCTGTTTCTACAGCGGCAATATTCGATAACAAGTACATCAACAAGTGATTCGTTTTCAGCCATTTCATCTACATCATCGGATTCCAACGAGATCAATGTTAATGGTTTACATAAAAAGAAAAAACTTAATGGAAATTGCAAAGCAACACCAACTACAAATGGTTGTGACGAATCAATAGAAGATGAAACAACAGTATGTAATGGAAAATATAGACCGAATATGGTATGTAAAATTAGAATCAACTATTTAGTTAGGAGAGTTTTGCTTTAGAAAACTGAGCGGAAATTACTTAGCAGGATCGAAAAGAAAATTTTTTCATAGCATCAATTGCCTTTCGTTTTTTTTTTTTCGTGTAGACAAATAATCACCGGTCATCATCATCTCGTCGTTCTCATTCATTATCATTTCGCCGTCAACGAAGTCATCAACAAATATTATTAAATCATCATAATAATCTCAATCCTGAACAAAAACGTCACACCTATTATCCATGTGATCATGGTCGCTCAATGCCATGTACGGATCAATGTTTTTGTGTACGATCGGGAAATTTTTGTGAAAAATATTGTTCTTGTTCATCGCTCAAATGTGATAATCGTTTTCCGGGGTGTCGTTGCCGTTCATCGTGTACAACAAAACAATGTCCATGCTATGCAGCAGCACGCGAGTGTGATCCTGATTTATGTACACAATGTGGCGCAGACGATTTCATTAGTAATAATAATGAATCAAAAACGCAAACATCATGTTCATGCCATAATGTTGCTATACAACGCAGTTTACATAAGCCTTTATTATTAGCTGAATCCGATGTTGCCGGCTGGGGAATATTTACACAAGTTAATATTCAACGAAATGAATTTATTGCTGAATATTGTGGAGAAATTGTAAATCAAAAATCGAGGCAAACAAAATGCATTCGATCTTTCTTTTTTGTATTATTTTAGGTAACGCAAGATGAAGGTGAATTACGCGGACGAATGTACGATACGATTGGTACAAGTTTCTTATTTGATCTCAATGAAGAATATATGGTTGATGCTACACGTCGTGGCAATAAAATACGTTTTGCTAATCATTCAATAAATCCGAATTGTTACGCTAAAGTTATTCGAGTTAATGGCGATCATAGAATTGGAATCTATTCGAAACGTTCTATATCAGCAGGCGAAGAGTTATTTTTTGATTATCGTTATGGAGCCAACCATCATTTACGCTTTGTTGGCGTCGAGAAAAATAAATGTGGAGATCAAGTTGATACGTAATAACTGTGATGGTTGTTGTGCATAGTGACTGACAGTCTCAGGAAGTTTTCTTTTCTTTTTTGTGTTTTGTATTGATTATTTTAGGTTAGTTTTTTTTCTGGCATAGTTTGTGTTGTTTTTGCGTATGAATGTGTAATTTGTTTTTGGTCCGTTTATAATTATTAGAACACGTTTACGATTGCGTAAATCTAAATGTGGAACTCAATTGAAGTGTTTTTTTAGATAAATATAAAGAAAAAGAAAATTGTATTTAACTGGGCAAGAATTTCAAAATATTTAAGATAAATCTATTGTATTCATGACCAACAAAAACAGAGCTTAGTAAATAATAATACCATCATATGAAACTTATTCTGTCTTCATGACTAAATGTGCCATAGTTCCTATATTCTGTTAAGAACTAGAGACATCTAGATAGTATGCACATATAATAATACAACAAATGGAAAAATAACCGATCGCCTTGCTATGTTGATCATCCTGCATCTACTTATTTTTAGTACTCATATCTATCTGTCCATATGAAATACATAGAAAAGTATTGTAAATAAAACTATGGAACAGTTTGATTTTACAAAACCAACACCATTTTATGATGTAGTACTCAATATTGAAGATAAAAAATTATATTGTAATCGTGCATTACTTGCAATATGGTCACCAGTCTTTGAAACAATGTTCAAATCTAATTTTCGTGAACGTGATTCAATGGAAATAAATTTACCTGGTAAATCATTTGATGATATCAAAGAATTACTTGCTGTTATTTATCCACCAAATCGACCGATTGTTGCAACAAATGTTCAACGTTTACTCGAATTAGCTGATGTAAATTCTATATCAAAAATATTTTTGAAAAAAAACAAAAGAAAACCATCAAATTTGCTTTTTTCTCTTTTTCTAGGAATATCAAATGATTGAACTAACTAAACGTTGTCAAGCTTATCTAATGCAACAACGTGGTACCATGGATTCATTATTATTAGCACAAAAATATAATTTCGATGATGTTATACGACGTTGTGCTGACCATTTAAAACACAATCTTAATTTAAATCTTTTACCCAATTGTGGTAATACTGATCCACGTTTAAATGAATTATCAACAAAAACAATTAATTTATTGTTAGTTGCACGTGTTAAACATTTAGAAACTGTACTTGATTCATATAAACGTAAAGTCATAACAGCTAATGAAAAATTTCGTAGTATCAAAGATTTACCTGGTTATAATGATGATTGTGATCATTGTTCAAGACATGAAACATATATAGTCGATTGTTATGATTGTATGCGAATGGTGCGAGCTATTATCAAAAGATTAAGTGAACAAGGCTTCGAAGAAACAGATTAATATGACAGTATGAAATCGGTTTTATTTATTGTTTCTAGTCAATAAATGTTTTATTCAAGAGCCAAAGCTCTTTTGTTTGCTGTGTATATCACTTCACATATTTTGCGGTGCTCATATCCGATGGTTATTCAACCTCTGGCTTTTTTTTCTTTTCAAAATAAATAATAATACAATGTACGTTTCATTTTTGCTTCTATATATTCTATTCGTTAAAACAGAGCTATGAAGAATGTCAACAGAGAGATTTATTGACAAGTTAATTTCAGATTATGAACGATATAACAGACGATCCTCTTGACTTTGCTTCAACACTTGATGATCGTTTTATTAAAACTGGTCAAGATGAAGGTCATCACTATGGTTATCAACGTGGGTTTCGTCAAGGTTTCTGTCGTGGTCTTGATTATGCTCTTGAAAATCATCGTGAAATTGCTATTATAGCTGCTTATTGTGCGCAATTACTAGGACAACTTAATTCAACAAATGATTCCAATCCTCGACAACGACGTTTATTAAATGGTATTACGGAATCGTGTCGTGAATTCCGAACACTTCTTCCAGATGCACCACGATATGCTGAATTACTGGCTTCCATAAGAGCTCGTCATCAACATTTAACTGGTGCTGGTAACAATACGATAGAAGCATCGAATTTAAATTTTTAGTTCATATATTTGATTTAAAAAGCTTTGTGTAATTTATTTTGAAAACAAAAAAACAAAATTCGAAGCTATTTCTTTACTTAATTGATCGTCAAGTATACTAATGTTGAGTTTCATTGTTTGTATTTTCCGCTCTATTAAATAAGATTATTGGCCTGAATAGATAAAATCAAAAACAAAAAATATAACACATTAAAAGTTTAAGAAAAACCTATACTTACGATCACTAAATCCAAAAGCAATGCAGACAAACGCATTCAGGAAATTGCAATCAGAAATTCGTCGAACCGTTGGCAGATAGTATGATTTATTTTTCTGAGATTGATATCGACGCATTTGAAACAAGATATTTAGAATTATTATGTTTTTAGGCCATTGAGGAAGAAAAACATGCAGACGCTGGTCTTGTGTGCTTTTTTTCATTCTGACAACGGATAGATATTACCCCATTCGATATGATTCGGATGCGCTCTACTGCATATTCATACTAATAAAGAAAAATCTCGACAAGAACGAACGCGTTCTTATTACATAATCATATAATGTTTGTACACTTAGGCTTATTAATTGGAATAAATAATCAATGCATCCTATACAAATTGTGTATATATAAATATGAAGTTTATTTTCATTGATGATAAAAATTGTAAGATACTTTTCATAGTAATTCTATTCACGATACACAAATACAGTCAACTTTAACAATGAAGTGAGTATCGATTCTTATTGAATAGCTCGCAGAATTAATATGAATAAAGTTTACCATCATGATTCATATTGTATTCATCGATTTATTTGCTTTTAAAATTCAAGAGTGTATCTCATCTCACCCTCTTTCTTTCTTTCTTTTTGTACTATTTACCCTTGTGATCATCGCTAGCATACATCTATTATCATCACCATCGCATACACACAGGAATGAATGCATATGTATGTTTCAGTTTTAATTAGACGACATAAAGATGTTTGCCTATCAAAGATTGAAGTGTGTGTGTCTGAAAAGGAATATTAACAGTAGCAGTTCCTTTTTTCATCATTGAAAATGAGAATGAATGAATGAATGAATGAATGATAAGATACATACTCTCTCTTGAAAGACAAATACAAGCCCCATTTCTTTCTCTGTGTCCACCTTACTATTTCTCTATATATTTCAAGAACATTTTCTGAACAAACATAATGGGGCGAAAATGCAAATTGACACGAAAAAAATCTATATATCTATACTTGTATAAGAGAAAATGATAGTTATTCCGTATTCTCAGTTTCAATAGTTGGCTACCAAATAATATATATATATAAATATATTCAAAATGGATTGGAGACAATATGCCACATCATTCTGGGTAAAGATTCTTTTTTTTCAAAGTTTTATTGAGAACTCCAAGATCTCTAGCCGACAATTCGATACACTCAAAAAACTATGAATATCCTGAAATGAGTTTAGATACTTATCTTATTCGCCATTAAGAATTGTTGAAAGTGAAGTTTTTCAAGATGTTCAATTAATTGAGCGATAAACTAACAGTTACTTCATAGAATTTGTTTCACTATTAAACAAGAGTCGATCATTTGAAATATTGATCATAACGTACTTTTAACAACATCCCAAAGGACATCAATAATTCGTTTTTCTCATTCGAAAATTTGTAATACAAGTAAATACAAAAAACTCACATTGTCGGTCACTTTGATATGTGATCAAAAGAAAAAACAATTACATATATTTTCCGTCTTTCTTCTAAAAACAGAATGATTATCAATTTATGGTCAATATGCAATTAGCTATGTATCAAATGTTAACGAATTTCGCATCAAATTCAACTCCGCGAGAAGATTCATCATTACGATTTCGTTCCCTCAGTGATCATCAATCACCAATAATAAATCATCAAAAGCCAATTAAACGTCTTTGTCACAAACGACCACGATTGGTGAAAACTAATAATCGGACTAGTGAGTAATCATTATCTTAGATAACCAATATATAGTCCTGAGAATAATCCATCTGGGTTAAAATTCGTCACCACGAAATAATAAAAAAGGGAAAATGAATATCAATGATCTTTTCGATACCGTATTTCTCGTCAATGATATTAATGGTAACCGTTTAAAAAAATATTTAGAAAGAGAACAGAAGTAGTCGTCTGTTCAGTTCATGTCTATTTGCTTTCTCTCTCGCGCTCTCACTCCGTACATTGAACGATGGGAAAATTTCGCCAGACGCGTCAGCAATGTTGACGAATGTTTGAAAGAGAAAGAGAAACAAAAAAAAATGTGATGTTCATTATATGCTCAACTTACTTCTTAAATAGGTAGTGGAACAACAACTGCAGCAGCAAGTAACTTGAATATGCCAACAACGTCGTCACCCGTTGGTTTCAATGGAAATTACAACGATGAAAGGTAGAATATTTCTAGATAAACCGTTAAAAAAATACTCATTTGAATGTTATTTTTTTTTGGTCAAATTAGTTATGAAGAACTTGAACATCGACCTCTTACACGAGAAATAATGGCTACATATTTGTCAACACGTCGTCATCGTACAGTAACCGTACATCATGCTAAAGTAGCACAAAAATCATATGGAAATGAAAAACGGTAAGAAGTTTAATTATGCGAATGTAAATTTTTAAAAAATTTTGCTTTTTATCAAGATTTTTTTGTCCACCACCTTGTGTTTATTTATCTGGCGATGGTTGGAATCATGATTTTGAACAAGATAATTTATGTACGATGATTGGCATTGGTGAGCCTTTATATCTTAATGATAATAATGGTTCACCATCCGGTAACATTACACAATCAAGTGAAATGCAACATTTACCATTTGACAATGGAAAAGTAAAGAAAATAGAATTAAAGATAAAAAATAATTTTCTTTTTGTGTATTTAGCGATTTGGTGCAGCAAAAACACTCTTTATTTCCGATTCAGATAAACGAAAACATATAAATTTAAATGTAAAAATGATGTATACAGCTGATTTTCGTGATAGTCCATACATTGGAATGTTTGAAAGTCGAAAAATAAAAGTTATATCGAAGCCATCGAAGAAAAAACAATCGGTTAAAAATGCTGAATGTAATTCAATTTCAAATTATTTTGTTTTTGTTTTCAATTAATTGATTGTATATTTTTTTTAATAGCAGTATGTATTCAATCGGGCACGAAAATTGCATTATTTAATCGTCTACGGTATGAGAAGATAGGAATTTTTTCTTCGAAATACGAAGAATGTTTTTTTTTTTCGTTTTCAGAAGTCAAAATGTTAGTACAAGATTTTTACATGTCGATGAAAGAAATCAATTTGAAGCAAGTTCACATGAATGGGGATCGTTTTATATACATTTAGTGGATAACGAAGAACCATGCATGGAATCAGTTACGTTTTCAGTTAAGGAAGGTTTTGTTCAATATGGTTCAACAGTGAAACTTGTATGTTCAGTGACAAATCAATCGTTACCCTACATGGTAAGCTTTGCTTAAGCTAATATTTACATAAGAAATACGTGCTGTAGAAGAAAGCGGCATATCATCTTGAACTTGTGCATCGAAAATATCTGTTGACTTTGCAACTAGACGTAGAGAGCATAATTTGAAAGATTCACTGATCGTTTTATGTAAAATTTCTGGTTAAATGAAATTTGTTTTGTTGCATTATTTTCAGGTTATTCGAAAAGTAGATAAAAATCGAGTATTATTAGATTCGGATGAACCTGTATCTCAATTACATAAATGTGCATTTGAATTCAAAAATGGACCATCATCATCGTCGAGTATAGTTTATCTATGTTTAACCGGTGAGCGCATTGTTGGCATTGCAGTAAGTTGTTTTCTCTTCAAAATAAAATATTCGAATGATTATTTTAGGGTAAACCATGTCCGAATGAGCGTTTTCGTGTTGATATTAATGATTCAGCCTGTTGGACAATCATATCCACTGATAAAGCGGAGTATACATGGTTTGAAGCATGTGGTCCCGTATCTCATCCTATTACACCAGTTCCGGTTGCTCGACATATTGTTGTATGTTTATTCAAATCCGTGAATTTGCTCTCTTACAAATTCATTTCTATTTATAATAGGTTGACGGTGGTGGTACAGCTGCAACTATTGAATTAACAGGTGAAAATTTTGCACCGGGCTTATCAGTATGGTTTGGAGAAACTGAATCTCCATGTACAGATTATCGGTATGTTATCGATAGTTGCTAATTGTTTTCTTTCGAATTAATTTTTTATGCTTAGATCCACACAAACCATTGTTGCTGAAGTTCCTCAATTTTCATCAGTAATGCCAAATATGCCATGGATTCAACGTCCTATATCAACTCCTATTTCACTTGTACGTCGTGATGGCGTTGTTTATTTAACACCATTAATGTTCACATATACACCACAGCCAGCACCTCCTCGAAAAAATACTCCATCACCACCTGCTGTTCTTTCTGTCACATCAGAGAATAATTTTTGTGAATCAGAAATATTAATATGAAAAACAATTTTTTCTCTTGTTTTATTCTACGTGCTTGTTGATTTTCTTTTTTGTATACAAAACAAATAAACTTATACAGAAGAATTAGGTGGAGTTTTTCGTTTGTTGCGAAAGCATTTTAAATGTTGATCGACCACTTTTACCGACATAGGAAAGCCAGGATACTCCTGTGGAAAGTGCAGATAATGTATAAATAACTGACATCCAACCAGTATGATGATAATCGAAAATTGGTGCTGCCATGCACAGTGTTAATAGACCAATTTGAACACCAGTGTTCACCTAAAATAATAGGAAATGTTTTTTGAAAACAGTATAACACAGAGGCAGTTGATTTTAGGATACGATTCTCGTTCAGTATCAGTTAACGAGAGTTCTTTTTCTCGATGGTAGAAGATCACAATGTGTTCATCATTTTTGTGGTTGTATTCAGTGGCGAAGCCAGGATTTTGGGCTAGGGGGGCTCAACCCCTCACAGGTGTCGCGAACATCCAAAAATTGGGGGTGAGGGACCACTTTTAAAAGTGTGCTTTAGGAGCAGTTTTGACAGATCTTTTGGACTTTGACAATTCTGGATTTTCCCCGGGTTTTAAATGTCTTTTTGCAGTTTTTTAGGAATTTTGAAAATTTTATCGGGTTTTTTGAGAATTTGGAAAGTTTTCTCCATTCTTTGGGGAATTTAAAATATTTTGTTGGATTTTTGAGTTCGCTACCTGGCAACACTTGTTAAAACATTGAACTGGAAACATTAATACACATTTATATAAAAAATTCATTTTCCAAAATCTCGCTAGGGGGGAGCTGAGCTCCCCTAGCCCCCCTGGCTCCGCCGCTGGTTGTATTCTCTCGTTTCTCTGCATGCAAATAATAAAAATTCTACATACTTTACTGACAAATGTTGGATAGAGTTGCACTGTAGCATTTTTCATATTCAAAATTTTCTTTAATGTTCTGGGCGATGAAACAGATTTAATACGAAGATAAGCTGCTGCACACATGATAGCAACATCACGACCTAATATTAAACCAAGAAGCCATAGAGGCATGAGATGAACATAAGTCAGTGATATGACAACAAAACCAACAAGCATTTTATCAGCGAATGGATCAAGAAATGAACCTAATGCAGATGATTGCGATGGATAACGACGTGCAATCCATCCATCAAGTAAGTCAGTGAAACCTGATAGAATAAAGAGTGATAATGCTATTGAATAATGATCACTGATAACTAAATAGCCGATAATCGGTGATGTTCCAATACGAGCAAATGTTAGAATATTTGGTATCGTCCATACACGCTCGGTTTTTGATTGATTCAATGGAATTGATGAGAGTGATGTACATGGAAGAAAATATTTCGTACGAGGTAGAAGAACTTTTGGTGATAACTGAATAGGAAGGTTCTGTTCCTTTTTAGAAACAACTGAACGGAATAGACATGCACGACATCGTAGATTTACTATACAAGATGAACGACGAAATATCAATTGTCCTAATATTAACATCTGAAAAACCAAAAATCTAAAGATAAAATAGTTATTAACAGTTCATTTGCAGTGTTGCTGGAATTTGAATATTTTATTTTCGTAACGCTCCAATCTGGAATTTGGATGTTTTTTCTACAAATCGTATAGTTAATGAAATTCGTGTTGTACGTGTTAATACTTGTTGTTCATCTTTATCTTTAATTTCATCACTACATCGATCAAAATTTGATATTCTCTCTCGATTGATTAAATCTTCATGAAGTTCTTCAATACCATGCATATAATATGAATACATATCATCTTTAACAATAAATAAACTACGTGGTTCAAGAAGAATTCGAGCAACGCATCGACTAGAGAACGATGTAGAATCCTAAATATATAAATAAAAATAAATTACAAATCATTAACAGTTTGAGTTATATAGGCGATTGTTCTCGGCACATATAATCAAGTGACTTTTATGATTAAAATCAATATTTCTATTCATAAGTTTTAAGGCATACAAAAAGCTACGAAGATTTATAGCAGATATCGACTAAGGAGTCTTTCTGAATCTTGTCTAGATGAAATCAAAATACCAACTACATAATATGAATCAATGGGGCACTATTTGATGAATTCAAACCGATTCCTATCTCACCTCTTTATCAGTACTATCGATTGGTCGATAAAATTCGATAACAGTATGTGATTGTAATGAAATAGTGGTGACAATCGGATGGTAAACAGGTCCATCCGTATGTGGCATAATACCTTGACCTGCTTCATATTCATTGACTAGACAATGATTGAATTGAAATCTATTATCAGAATAGACCGTTTCATTTCCAAGTTTAAGTATACGTTCTGTAAATGTTTCTAACCATTTAGGTAATGATTCTGTTTGAATCATTCCTTTTGCAAGTGGTTGTCCACCCCAATTTTGCAAACGACGATTACGCAATTGAACCCAACGAGTACGCGGTACATTATTTACACATGACAATAGATATTCTTCTTCTTCATTGTTTATAAAATTTGGTATATAGTAAAGAGTATTCGGTAGATTGGTAAGTTTATAGATTTCCATGAAAATGAAAGCTAGAAATATCACAATTATTAGAAATCTTTTCTATTTGTAAAAGAAACGAAAATATAAACATTCATTTTTTTTTGTTTCAATACACTCGCGATAATTGATGCACTATAACGGATTTCAAATAACAAATAGAAAGGAAACGAAAACAACACATTAGACAAAACAATTATTCAAATGAAAATTAGTCATTTGATTCTCATGTACAAGCCGATGGTAATAATATGTCATTGTTCGTCGGTTGAGCAACTATAGAAATGGAAAAGCAATTACGCTTGCTCAGTACTGATATTTGAGAAGAACTCACTTTCATATGGAATTATTTCTGCATTTGATGATTTTTGTCGGCGAACAAATATTTTCTTTTGTTTTTCAACTTTTCTTAAAGCACTTTTTAGGTTGAAGAATACTCGTTGGCATTGACGCATGCGATCTTTAAGATGCACCAAGCGATTATCACCCGTTAGATTACTATCTAAAGAAGAAGAAAAAAATGATTATTCTAAAAAAAATCCTGGCTCTTACTAAGATCAAGAAAATTATAACGACTTGATCGATTTTTAAACATATTGTCTACTTGTTGACGTAATGTTGCACTCATTGGTGAATTCAAATGAAGATCTTCATTTTCATTATCTAAATCAGGAACAAGTTAAATAATACTCGACAAGTCAAAATCTACCTAATTGGTTAGCTGGTCTTTTCGCGCCTCGTTTTGCTACTGTTCGATGCCGTTTTACTTTATAAAAGAAAAGAAGTAAAATCAAAGTTAATATCGAAATTTAAATAAAAATCTTTCACTCACCTTCGATTGATTGTTGGTCAATTGGTATCGGACTATGATCACTGTTGTTTGTACAATCACTATTGAAATTACTATTAATATCTGCATCAAACCGTGTTTTTCTCTTTGTACATATAGATGAATCTTGTATGGCATTTGGCTCACGGAATGTACGTCGTTTTTGTTGACGTGTATATATACGACGATTGTCTGGAATTAAACTGGGCATTGGAATGAATGGAAGCGTATAATTTATTGATTGATCGTCAATAATCGAAGATGTACTCATAATTTCTTCTTTAGCTTGCAATTGATTTATTGAACTAGTTATGAGAAGAAGAAAAATCCGAATGATGAAAAACAAAAACAAAATGAAATTTACGCCTCTGATTTTGAAAGAATATTTTCAATATTAATATTTTGTGTTGGATCAATTTTAATATTCGATGATTGTCGCTTTGTAGCTATTTGTTGGATAGAATTTTCTTCGGAAATTAATTCTTTATCATCAATAGATTTCGCATCGTCGATTGAAAGCATTGGCTCATCGTTTGAACTTGTTGGTAATATACAGGTAGGCCTAGAACAATGTCTACAATTAGGATTGATTGTTCTGTGGCATTTGTTTTCAGGAAATATTCATTTTTTTAACCAGTTCTATCACATATGATCGTTGTCATCGATATTAAACAAACTTTAAAACAATTCGTATTTTAGAATATCCTCTAATGCTTAGTCGATTTTCAAGTTTCGAAACTATGTAGAAAAAATGCTCTGCATTCAGATCATAAATGGAAATTCTACTTTTTCTCCCTAACTACAAAGTATCATTTAAGAGAATGTCGTTCTTAGGTTTACTAAAGCTAACTTATAGTCATACTGTTGTAAACCGATATTCGAGCTAGATATTTTGTTGTTCGAAAGAACAAAATTTATTTTACTCACTGAACCGCTTGATTATTCGTATCATTAAATTGAAACGTTGATGAACACGAAACAAATTCATCGACATTCAATGATGGTATTTCAAAATCTTTCCATACTAAGCAATGAAATTATTTAATATCAAATTAGATTCGAAATTAGTTATTACCATTATTTTGATCAGTAGAATTCATTGTAGTGTTTTCGATTTTCATACTGATTTCTTGTTCATTTTTTACGAATACTGGTGAGGCTACAATACTTATTTGTTTTTGATCGAAATCCATTTCATCATAACGTTTAATAACTCTATCAAGTTCGATCCATTCATGATATCTAAAATGAATCAAATTTCATTAGAAAATAAAAAAAACTTCGATGAATATTTATTTACTTTAAATCAAATCCATTATAATGAACACATAGTTCTTTTTTACTATCATTTTTTTCAATACACCGTGCATAATACTGTTTCTTACCGTTGAGTTCCCATTGTACAAGTAATATATCATTCACAAGAATATCTTCAAATGTTAATTGAGCATTATTATTTGCAGCGAGACTATCTTTTAATGATTTTTTATTGCTATAAAATAAATAATTTCGATTAGTGTTTTTATTTTTTCACAGAGTAAAAACGTTTTTACTTTATTAGTTCATCACTATTTTGCGACGACATGGAATGTCTGGAACGTTTAAATGGAGATAATTGTTCATCTGTTTTATTATTGAACTCGAAATTCTCGTCAGAATAGGATCGTTTGTTTGAATTCATTTCGGAATTTTCAATACCGTCTGCTTGCTGATTAGTTATCGATGATGATGGAATTAACGTTTGAAATATCGAAGGCACTTCAAGGACATACAGTTTTCAAGGACATATGCGTACAAAAGAATACAAGTGATCTGAACAAGTTCGCTTACCTGATGTATCGTCATTGGTATCATTGGTGCTTGCTGTTGTAGTAAAAAGTGAAAGTGATTTTGACGGTTCTTCCTTTATCGACGGTGGCGGTGGTGATGGTGAAGTTGGCACTACTGGTAAAATTGTTACATCTTGTAAAGTATTTTGTTTCACTGGTTCTGAAAACGATGGACCAATCGGAGACGATGTATTAGCTTTTGACTGTTCTGTGTCGGAGTTACCTAGAAAAATAATTAGCTTGGAATAAATTAAATATTCATTTGTGGATCATGATTTTTATTTTTGATTTCATTTTCTTGTTAGGTCTTGTAGGAGTTGTCATTCATCGATTTTGTTAAGTTAGGATATTTATTTTCAATTTGAAAGGAGTGTCAGCTGATGGCGGCATGGTTTAGGTTCGTTTGATGTTCGAGGTAACTTTACTACTTGACTCCATGTGTCAAATTGAATATTTCACTCAGCCAGAGCCAATCAGTCGCAATGGGTAGGACTCAAATTACTATAACTCGTTCTCCCTCTGATGTGCAAATAATAATTATCTAGCATACCAGAGATTTTATAGATCTAAGCAGTGCTACTTGCCTATTTAGTATCCACTATGGTTTCTACTGTGTTCCTAGTTAGAAAGTATGATAATATGCCTTGAGTAAAATATGTACCTTTATTCGATTGACGCTTCGATGTCCTATCGTGAGTTTTGGATGTTTTAGTAGATGTTGATTTATTAGGGAATGCATGCCTGGGAAACGTAGTATTCCTTCTAAAAAGATAAAGATGCCTGTAAAAAAGAGTCACGTTGAATATTTATACGTACAAAATATCAGGAGGAATTTTTGCAATTTTAATAACTGGCTTCATATCATTTTCCGTATCGGTTGTTGATTTAGTTCTTTTACTTGTTGCTGAATTTGATTTTTCACGTTTCTTTTGTGAATCACATAATGATGGCGATGATACTGACGATGATATTGTTTTTGTTAGTTTTTTCTTCTCATTCGAAATAGCAATTGATTTGTATATAGAAGAATGAATTGTTGGCTTTTTTTGTCTTTTATTTGTACTTGATGATGAACTAGTTATCTCATCGTCGGATGTTTCAGAGTCGGATGTACTTGATGAAAAAATAGCTGATAATTTTGCTTTATTAAGAATAATACTTTTTCGAGAAGAATTGGTTGGCTGAATTTTCGTAGAAGATAATATGGGTTTTGAATCAATGGATTGTCTTTTACGAAACTAAATTAAAGATTGAATATGCTGTTTTTTTATACAGATGATTTTTATGAAAAGAATAAGAAGCTGCAGAGTCGAACTCGATTTTCCAGGGATTAATGAAGGAATTAAAAATATTGGCAGAGAGAGAGAGAGAGTGGAACTGTTTATGAAATTTACCGATTGTTTGGTTTTATGCTTTTCTTCTGATTGTTGTCGTACACGTATTAAACTTCTTCTTGAATCGTTATTCGTACTTGCACGACTATTATAAAATGCATTTGGCATAGTCATGGTACCTAATTTTTTCGACATATCTTCATAGGGAAATAAATATCTATAGAAATTGAATAAAAATAAATGATAAATATTATTTATTTATCTACTTTTTATAAGTATTTTCAATTAATCGATCGTTTTTTGGAGATGATTCATTTGGCAAACCCATTTTGATATAAACTTTATTCCATTGTTCATTTTTTGTAACCTGAATAAGTAGGAAATTTTTTAATAAGATTCATTTTGAAAGATTTCAATACCGCACCTTATTATAACCACCTAACATACGAACGATATTAAATAAACGATGAAGATCAAGATCATAATTATGAATTTTAGGTATATTATTTATTGGTGTACCTATAAAATATACGATAGAAACAAGCGTTTATTAATGAGATTTGGAGGGACTGAAAAATCTTTAATTTAACTAATGAAGATAGTTTTAATATCAACTATGCCCCTTAGTATTTCGTTCGTCAATGACACAGACGAAAGATCGTAGTACACCAGCTGATACTTTTCGTTGGCACTCATGAATATTTATCACAGAATTATGATTTTGTTTTTCAGGAATTGAATTTTCTCAAAAATTCGATTCTAATGACAAAGAGCTAGTTCGAAAAATGTATACTGTGATGAAGGAATCTCTTTTTGAATTTTTCACGAACTCTTCATAAGTAAACTTTTAGACCGAAAATCAACTAGCAATGAGTCACATAGGCGGTGAACTGGTGATGATTCAAAGTACAACAGGGAAGATAACTGTGATGCCTATTTAACTAGTTTCACCAAGGCTTGGCCTGGAATCCAGTATGAGACCAAACAGCAGATGTCAGTTGGCGTATTGTTTTCATAAGCGAGTCAGTCTATTGTTCGTAAGTTATTGGTTAAAAAATATCTATGGTATATAAAAAGAATTGAGAGCGAGACGATAAAGTAATTCGAACTCAAATAGTCAAGTTGCTCTAAATATGAAAGTTACAGGAAAAAATGTTCTGATTATATCTTTGATGTAATAAATCTATAGATTTTGTCTAACGACTACTATACATATTAATCATTGGTTTCAATTTACCTCGATCGTCCATAAAAGCAAATAATTGCGCTATAAATGAATCTTTTTCTTCGATTGTTTCATCATCACTATCGTCAAAATCGGATTCACTTGTACTTGAATTACTTTCGCTTGTACTGTTGTCATCATCTTGAACATGTTTCGATTTTGCCCTTTTCCATACAATTGGTATTTGATTATATTTAATAAATTTATCACATGCTGTTGTTGCTTGCTTCGATGTTGAACGACATAATGATCGAATACGTGAATTATTTTTATATGGTTCAACATCATTAATTTTATGAACAATATATTCTCTTCCATTAAGAAAACTTTTGACCCAAATGTAATCAGAAAATGATTTACGTTTAAGTATCAATGCCGGAAATACATGTTGATTATTGTTTCCATGACGACGAACAGCAACAATGGAGGATAGATCATTACTATTCATGGTTGCTGATGTTAATGATGATGATGGTGTCGTCGTTGAAATATCTTCAACAGGTTTTCGTTGATCAATACGCGTTTGATATAAACGAATACCTTGTAAACAGAGTGATGAGCGTCTTAAAGATTTCTCATCACCATCATTGAATACAACTGTATAGATACTATTATCATAAATTTGTTTAATTATTGCTTGTTTTTCGTCGTAATTATCATTATTATTGAGTATAGCTATTAATGAACTACGTGAAAGATGAGGATTTAGATCGTGATGATTTGATGATGGTAAACGTATGGTTACTGTATTACCAATACGTAATGATTTAGGTTGCACAATTTGCTCTTCAGATATAATTATTGTATCATTCGTATCAAGCAATACAATTTTTAATTTAACTTGTCTTTCAATTGTTTTAACTTGAGCTACAAATAGATAATTGTAAAAGCTAAGCTCGTGCTAATTACAGAGAGAGAGATTATTTTATTCGATGAATCTTGCGACGCACATTTACAGAGAAGCCGAGTTATGAATAGTAAAAAATTTGCCCATGTCTAAATTTTTTTCAAGTGCAAAAACAGTAATTTTGAGAAATGATTGATTACTTATAAAGTTTTTTCGAAGGTTTACAAGGTAGAAACAAATTGGCCGAGAAATCAAGTGCAAATTAGAATTTCTTGAATTGGCATATATTTTTGATCTAACTTTATAGGGAACCGATACCTCCTTGTTCACCATCAATATTACCTGCGCTTTGAACGGAAAAGGATAAGATAACAGATAACTCTCACAACAAAATATATCCGAGAATTTTTAAACGTCTGCTATCTAAACACTCTACTTTCAGGTCGTGTCAAGTTTCATAAAAAATAGCAAATTAAAATTTATGAGAAGATAGTTTCAGTTCTGCTCTCTCATAATTAACACAAATTTTCTATGGGAACTCTAGGTTTAGTAAATTTCTTTGTGTAATTACCATCGTTTTCTGCTCAAACTGCGAAATTCTTTTTAAAGAAGAAAAAAAAACGACAAATTCTTTAGTTACTTACAACATAGCGTCAGCGAGGTAACGGACTGGAACCCCTTGAATAAACTACACTGCAACTCTCAATAGAAAAAGAAGTTCATCGAACGTTCGCGAATAAAATCAAAACTATTAAAAACAGCGTCATCGTTATAGTTACTCTCTCTTTCTAATGACTATTTATAAATTGCAATTACCATTTTAATGTTCATAATATATACATACGCGTACGTCAATGTTAGTAGTTGCTCCTTTCACATCTCGCTAAAAAATTTGCTCAAGTACGTTACGCTTGCTTAATGACGCACTTTGGATTTTTTTGAAGATCCCCGCTCTATTTATTAGCATGATATGACATAGTACTTTTCTTTCTAATTAAGCTTTATTTTTCTCACCTATATACTTACGTATATAAATTATAGCCTTATTTTCGAGTATTTGTTTTTAGACCTTCAACTTATTACTTGTACATTTCTTCATGATAGGAAAAAAAAAATAAATACTACTTATAGATAATGATGGCACAAAAAGAATTTCGGCTTCTGTTTTTTAGAGAAGAGTCCTCTCAAAAGTCATGGTATAAACTATTCAATTTGTTAGACGATTTGTTTTTTAATTGCTGATTGATTTCTCGTGTAAAAATATTATTTGTAAGGTATATGTTTTTCATGTTTTCACGAAGTTCGCAAAATCTTTTTCTCTGCATTCGTTTTAATTTCGGTTTTAAAATAGAATAATTACCTGAGCAAAATGCTCCACGATATTTAGCACTAACTGAACAACCGATCGGTAGGCAAGCCGATTCCATTGACGTAGATGTATTCGTATTTGTTTCATCGGTAAGCATGATTTGTGACGGTGTTGACGAAGACCGGGCCTTTCTTTCTGCGTGCATGCCCAAGTATATAATATAGAAACTATATATCTGAAAACAAAGATTTTATTAGAAAAAGAACAACAAAGCGGATGTAAGTTTTTTTTTTCTTTTTAATCTTTCTCCTTCACTGTCAATTTTTCTTTCATACAATGACATAATGATTGGTCACCTAGAAAAGTAGAAAAACCCACAAATTTTTATTCGATCGTTGTCAGTATATATAACTTACTACAACATTGATCTTGTTTTTGCATTTCCTTTCTATAACGTTCAGTTTTTCCAATACCTAATTTTGGTACACCTTTATTCAGACCTTCGATTAGTAAACATGCTTTACATATTGGCATCGATGAACAATAGGAACAACGTTCACAAACACGTTGTACAGGCATTTTAGCTGTTTGTTTAACAATTAACTGTTCACCACTATGAATGATATCGATGATTGACGATGGTCTTAAGCGTTCTAAATCTTTGATATATGTTCTTATATTGCCACGATATGCATTTGGAGAGTAGAGACATTCCGTTGAGAAATAATCCAACCGTTTATAAAATGCGTAGAGAACAATTTCTTTTTCATATGCATATTTTAATGGTTTACAACGAGGAATAGTAGATGCTTCATTATCATCGGATTCATCACCGGTTATGATTGATGTACATCGTTTAAGACGTGCAATATCACCACGAAGAATATTCATGAGAATTGTTTCAGCAATATCATCGGCATTGTGACCAGTTGCTATTTTATTCACAGCTAATTTCATTGCGCCACGGTCAAGAGCTTGACGACGGAAGACACCACAGAATGTGCCTGCAAAGAAATAACTAGTAGCATTTTCAAAAGCTAAGACATGAACGATCAACGTTATTTTTATGCTATGAAATATTGTTTCTATGAGCAAATCTAATGTTTGACAACTATTTTTGTACAGAAACTTACTCGTATCAAATGAGAAAATAAGAATTCCTGTCAAAATTCGTTGTAAACAAATTTTCTTGTGAATCTTATTTTTAACGTCTTCATCGAAAAATGCAATACATCACACGTTGTCTTTAAACGACATGTGATAAATCATTTAGCCAAAACCACACAGTCAAAGTGAAGGTCATTCAATTATTGCTCGCGTGAGCGATGAAAGCTAATAGGATTTGATCCTTCGTTTTTCTTCTTCTTCTAACGATCAAATAAATTACCAAAATTATACAACTATTATCAGACATCAATCAAGCCTGTACGTACAAAAAACGAATTCAAATAAATCGATTCATGGTCATATCTACAAACTTATCAGTCGCATATTTGTACATAACACCACCACTATTAGAGTACCGGGTAAAGAATACCTATCACTATATTGCAAATGAAATCATGTTGAATCGTAAATTTCTATAAGAAGAACAAAAACTAATACTTGACATTGACCAGTCACTTTATCCTATCGAAAGTCAATTGATAGTTTTTTCTTTTGAATATCACCGATAAAAGCCCACAAAGCCCCACTCTACTACTCTTGACAATTTTATCAAACTGTTCCCAAAATAAGAACTCTCCTTCTATATGAAAGTCGAAACCTGTCAAAATCGAACTCAATCAATATCAGCCCATACGTAAATTTATACGTCTATGAAAGGTAACACTTCTTCTTCTTCTTTAAAAAAGAAACTATTCACTTAGTTTTGTCAGAATAACCTCGACCCAATTGTTCTTATTATTATAACTAAAAGAACTTCGAGTATAGATAGTTTTTCTATAGATTCTAAATGAATCAACTCAAGAAAATAAAAAGCTACTTGTTCTTGAATATTTCATCAAAGATGAACAACCTAATTGTGATACTGATTGTTTTAATTCAATATCAACCATTGCATATAACTATTCTCTATTTTGAAAATCGATTTACTTACAATTATTCTTACGACCAACTGCTTTAACAATTTCATCCTATAATAACAACGTAATTTTATTTCCTTGATAAAGAAAAAAACTAAGATTTCTTTTACCATACTCCAACCATACAATTCTTTATATGTAAGAATAATTAATGGCAGATCATATTGTTGTTGATTACGTTTTACAGTTTCAAGTGAATCATCCCTATAACCTGTTATGCCTTCATCAATGGACAATAGAACAAGTTTAAGACCGTATGAATGTCTTTCATTTAGTAGTTTTAATACATGAGCAAGAACAGTAGAATCTAAGTCAAAATTATATCATTAATTGTTTATGAAAGATTATTTTATTTTGTTTCTGAACCTTTTCCACCACTTGCAGCAACAGCAATTGTTTCACCTGGCTTAAATAATTGTTCCTTCACAATAGTTTCATGTATTTCACGTTCGAATGCATCGAAAAAACATATTTTACAATAGGGTTCACTTGTTTTCGGACGAACCAAGGCGGCTGGTCGCTCGCCACGACATGCTGCACAAATAACGCTAGGCATAGAACAATTCTGAAATTTAAATCACTCAATATGTAATACCATGACATACCAGCCGAGAAATCAAACAGTGATGACTCATTACAAAATTCGACTCGACCCACAAGTAATTGCTTGCAACAGATGGCAGCTATTGACACCTTTCGAGAAAAAATCGAACAAGAAAAAACCGTCTTTCATCGTGTCGCACACATCTGATACCTTCTGCCATTGTCTAAATATAAATTTATAGATATAACACTAGATCTGCTCTTTTCAAAGCTACATATAAAAGTGTTTGTCGAAGGCTAATAGATAGTGTGCTCCAGATGTTAAAATCTCATGTTACTACAGGTCACATTTTCTTTTGTCACAACAAAAGAGATTCGATAAAAAGAACCAGCTATTTATATTCTACTTGAAATTACAACGAAGAAGATCTAATATCGTACACAGAAATTTTATTCATGTTTATTTTTTAGAAATTCGAAATATGGAAAACGTATGTATTAGAAATTAAGAATAGTCTAATTTTTTCTTGGAAAGTTTATCGCGCAGAAACTAGAAGAAAACTTTAGCGAATGTTATCTATGATGTTATGATGATGTACTAATTGTTTCGTAATATTTATTAATTTCCATAAAATCGAACGAGATACTATGCTACTAAAGCGACACTGATTAAGTTTTAGAAGAGATTCACGGTAGTGGAAATACTGATTTTATTAGTGAAGTTTAGTTTTAAATCTGTAATTATGCGTGTAAAAACCAATACAAAATTTTCAGTATCATCTTTAGTTTGTACTTCGAAATTGTACTATAAGTGTTACCTGAATCAATGTAGCCTTCGACGATAATATTGATAGCCTATTTAACCTGCTTTTGACGTCCAGCAGTGAAAATGTGAATCAACATGCTGTGCTACGATTTTAGTACCACTAGGTTAGGTGTAGGGTTAGATGTTTAAGAAATCTCATATTACATTGCATGGATATCTCATCATAAGCTATTATTCGAACTGTTAGTTCGTTAAAATAAAACATTATTATATCAATCGAAGTTCTAGTAAAATTGGATCACTCGCAATGTTAATGTTTCCTTTTATAGTTAAAATCCGTTAGTGTCTTCTGTGACCATTCAGAGCAGACTTTCAGTTGATGATAATTCACATCAGTAAAAAAGACTCGTTTTTGAAAAAAGAATAAATTTATTATATTCATTATTTTCACGAATTCATAGTATTTCTCCCATTTTCTTTATACTTTCTATCATTTCTCTTCGAGTACAACAAATATACAAAAAAAATAATAATTGCACGAAGACACTAAAAAAAGAGAACGTTAGCATTTTACCCAGGTCAGTTAAATCTTATACATGCACACACACACACACATTCTAAGAAAAAGAAATTTTGCTTCTTTATTGTTTAACAAACATATAAAATTTTAACGAAATTGAAAGACACTTGATGTCTTCTGTGGTACATGTTCCAAAGTTAAACTTTGAAACCATTCAGATGAATGATGATAATAATATCCTTGTAGTTTCCCAGTACTTAATTGTAAACATATATAATAGAATCCAGCGAACGATGCACCTAAAAGTAGATATGTTGATGCATAACAAATATATATATATATATATAATAAAAAATGTACTAACCAGTTATATCTCTAACCGTATGATCCGGCACAAGAAAATGTTCTTTCCATCTCATAAAAACAAAATCAGAAGTTTTTCCTACTAATAATTGATCATAATCGAATGAATCAGTATTGAATGTATCAACAAATGGTAAAAATGCATCGAATTTACTCCAATGTTGTTTGTCAACTTCTTCATCGGCTTCCCATTTACGTGTTAAAAATGGATACCGTTTGGATATAATTTCTGCATCGAAAAACGTTGAGAGTATTGGATACTCATCGATTAAGCCAGTTATTCCTAAATATCCACATATATACGAACGTTCTAAATCAACATGATGAAAAATAACATCGACGTTGTAAGATTTTCCCTTGGATTTTTGATTACCAGTAAATCGAGATGATGTACATAATATAGAAGAGTTTTTATTTGGTGGACCCAAATTCATATCAGAAAATTCGAGTGGACCTAGCAGTTTCATTATCTAGATAATTAAACGTCAAGGGAAGAATTAGAGACAATAAAAAAAAAAGAAACTTGTAGAAAGAACAGAACATGAACAATAAATAAACAGACGGCATTGAGAATCAGTAAAATAGCCAATCGGAGATCTTTTTTTTTCATTGACATAGATTTCGCTAGTTTACAGTTGTATAAAACTTCAGCCTTGAATTCATGTAAGCCTGATACGTATCGCGTTGAAAACTTAATTGATCGGCCATATATTCTCGAAAGAAGCAAAAGCAACGTCAAGTCTTATCGTAAATTCCTAAATATGTAATTGCTTAGCTACATGCCTATGAAATGAGCTAAAAACGCGCTGCAATACTGGTAATTATTCTCTGACTGATACGCTTATGTACATTGATTCAATTTTAGACTTTAAAAACAAAATCTTACATTAGTTCTGCTGGTTAAAATTCATACATTATCTGCCAAATTCTAACAATAAAAGATTTGTTTTGCATTAGTTTGTTCATTAGCGCAGCCCCTTTGGGGCTAAAATGTGGAATTCACATATATCCCCTAGGCTTACTAAAATAATTCAAAATACTTCATCTGAAAAATCTACCTTGATTTCCAAAACCTATAATGAGGTTATTGCCTATATCTGTAATGGGCAAGTATTGTTTTTTTCGTGTAGACTGTAATTAAAAAAGGAAGAAATAGCCGCCTAATCAGTCAAGCTCCTAATTAGCACAATTATAAAGTCATAAATGTCTGTAATTGGGAGGGGGTGGGGAGCCGCAAAAATCTCGCTGTTAAACTTACACTCACCAGTTTCTTTGAAAATATATGCGAGTTCCACAAAACCATATGCAACGGTTATTAAGAATAACATTTAGTTGATCTCGTAAAATTATGATTTTTTTTTTATTATAAATAATCAATCATTAATGTATTTTTAATGAAATATTTTTTGTACAAAATATGTACAAATACTATTATAAACAAAAACAAATATTTGAATCTATTTTGACGTTATAGTTTCACTATTTTTCGAGGACATTTTACGTCGATGAGCTAAACGTACTGAAAGAAAAACAAAAATCAAGTTAAAAGAAAAAGAAGCCTGCTAGAGAAATAAATACTTACAAGCATCTTTCAATGCTGGATGTGCATAAACCATTGCTTGTTCATATGTCATTAATTTATCAGGTTCTGGTGTAGACACATGTTGATGTTGAGCACTGGGTGATCGTCCTATAACCATCGGTTTAATCACTGACGAAGAATTCTGATTTATCTGTTGCCGTTGTTGAGGTCCAAAATTTAATGATGTTGATGAAGCGACTGATGATGGTCGTATTGTCTAGAATAACAAACAAACAAAGAGAATGGTAAATAAAATCATTTTAAATTTACTGATGGATGTTGTCGAATAGCATCTTGATGGCGAGCATGATCTTGTTCTTGTCCTTGACAAATCTTTAATAATTCTTTATTGATACGTCTTGTTTCATCTAATTCAATCATTCCTTTTTTCATTTTATTCATTTGTCTCAGCTACAAATTAAACAAATATTAGGAAAATTTCTTGTATTAGAAAAATTTATTTTTCTAACATATTCACTTCTATGCATCATTAATTGATTCCATTTTGCATCTTGATAGTCAAATACCTAAAGTAAGAAGAAGAAAACTTCTATTTGTTCTCATTGAAATTAAGAAAAAAATTAATTTACGTCAAATAATTGTTTATACATATTAGAATAAAGTTTATAAATTTGTTCGCGCACTTGTGCTTCAGTTACATGTACTAATTCATAGCGTGATAGGAACAATACTTTTATCTGTGGTGGTAACTAAAATTGTTAAATTCAATGAGGAAACTCTTTTTATTCGTTGATGTTAAATTTACATTTGAATTAATCGGATACACATGAGTTGATTTCGAACATAGACCACATGGAAATTAGAAAGAAAAATCTCTTTCTAGGAAAGTTAAAATTCAAGATAGAAAATATTTACAAGTTTGACCGTTCGTATTATGCATAGCACAATCTCGACAGATAATATGGCCACATGGATGACAATAGCCAAGTGGTAATCGAGTATTGTGAGAGCCGTTATTTTCACGTCTTTTACATAGTTCACAATGTACCCATTCAGGCATGATTAAATGTGTTCCTGACACTGGTGTTTTTGTTGTTGTCGTCTCCGATGGCACATTTTTTGGTGTTGGTGCACCAATACTTGTATTTATTAGTGTTGAATCCAAGTCCTAGAGTTTGATTTTAAAAAAAGTAAGTTAAGCATAACTTGAATGAAAAATTATTACTACTGAGTTACGGCTAATTGATGCATTTAGATTCATTAGAAAACGTGTAGATTTAACTGATTTTTGTTTTTGATACAGATGTTTGACGGTTGGAATTACCGCCGAAGAGGCAGATAAATTTTAGGAGGTCTCATTGTTTGATTGATATAATAATAATAATAATAAAATATAACTGAATAATTGAAAGAATAAATGAATGAGAACTATTGAGAAATATTTAATCTAAATTAATAATTTATAGAGGACACTACTGATCAATAAATCGGAAATCGATGCTCATAATGCATGAAAGTAGAATAACTAAATCTTGAATATCGACAAGGTCATTACATAAGAGAACCTACAACACATTCTCCACGTCAAGGAGTATAGTATCAAGTTATTTTAGTTGGAAACAATTAGTGATCACACTTCATACATCCTTTATCGAGGCATCCTCGTGAAATGATCACTTCAACAATAAATTCAATCTTCTGTATTCTTGTATAGAATAATCTTTTATCGAAAAACAAACAAAACTCACATCTAATAAGTAACAAAAATAAAGTGAAGAAAAATAGTTTTCGTCTTATTCTGCTTGTTTTTTTTTCTTCTGTATGTAACAATACACCGGAAATTTATCGTCGTGCAAAATCTACAAGAACAAATCAGCATTTATGTTTCATCAGCCATTGTTGCTGGTTGTTGGTGACCGAGTAAAAAGTCCATTGTATTATTAATGATTTGTAAACGACTACGAAATGATTGCGACATCAATGCTGAATATTGAATATCTGGTTCTATTGGTAATATATTCAAGATTATCCAAGCCCAAGCAGGCCCATCAGCTAAGAAATGAAAAAGAAAAGTTAAATATTCTTTCTTTTTTTCTTTACTACAAAAACAAATCAACAATATTGTCTTTTCAACAGAAACTAGCAACTAGAAATCTATAATCTAGCCTTAAAAATTTAGTAAATAAATTTAAATATTTACTTGAATTCTGCGTTAGATCATCACACGATGGATATCCTTCTAATTGACGAGTTATTAATGTTCGTCGATATGCGTCAAGTTGACCAAACCAAGCACGTACACGATTATAACTATCTCGATTTAGTTGATATAAATCTACGTTTACAGAAAACAAAATAGAAATTTTAAAGTTCTTTCATTTTTAAATGGACCAACCATCGAAATCTTCTTGTTCAATTGGATCATCTTGAATAAGTTGAACATGTCCTGTACAATATTCATCTCGTACTCCACGATCAATAACACGAAAACGTCGTTGACCGATTGTATCAACTATTGAACGGCCATCACGAGTATAGACAAGTCCTCGAATATATAATAATGTACCATAATCAGCAAAGGTTCTGCAGCGAAATACAAGCTAGTTCCTATTGAATAAGTTGTATTATTCAAGCTCTTACTCTGTTTGTGGATCATATGTACACATGCCGAATGTACGTGATTGAGTTTCTATAGTTCGACGCATCATTAAACGATAACGTGGCTCAAATACATGTAATGGACATGTGCAACAAGGTAAAGATAATACGCACACAAAGATTGGAATTTCAAATATAGTTGGAACAACATTAGTGGTTGGTGAGCGAGGGATAGCTGCTCTAAAAAAATTAAAAAAATATTTTTCTGCAATTATTATTACTAAAGAATCAAATGATTAATTTTACCCCTGAATATTTTCTTGTTCAAATAGCTGCTGTCGTTCATTAAGTTCATTTGGAAAATAAGTTTCAATAACTTGCGATATAATCTCAGTTTTATTCACATGTGCTTGTATTAACATAGGAAAAAACTAAACGTATTAAAAAAAAAAGCTTTTTAAACTCCATTCGATTATTGTTGCCAATGTGATAGAGAGAGAGAGCATATGAGAAAATGTTGCTCAAGAAATATTTCTCGTCACGATACTGCTGCCACTAGTTATGTATTATAATAACGTCTGTGTAGGATGCTGTAAGGTTAGACGATTTTTTTCAGCGAGGGTATCACCAAGTACAAATGAAGATTATTTTATACACCTGCAGTGTCTTATCCAGCGGGAAGGCAAGCGCTATTTTGCCCTCCCACGAAAAATGAAATAAATAATTAACTTTTGTATAACTTACAAAACACAGATCATTCGAGCGCATCAGTATGATAGGCTCGATATTACTCATGGTAGTTAACCTCCTTAAAAAACTTTTACCTGCCCTCCAGACAACTGAATTCACCCTCTCGGAGTGAAACATCTAGGTAAAACACTGCATACCTGCTATTTTACCTTACAAATAAGATCATTTTAATGCTAAAGCTGCATTAGTATTAATACCTGGTTACGACCCTTTTTCATTATGAAAGTAACAGATCGCATTTTCATTACAGAATGGTTTCATTTTCAACCCTTCAGATTAATTTTTCAAAAAAAAAATAATTATATAATAAATAGTTGTTGTTGTAGTGTTATGCATATAAAATAACAACACAACTGTGAAAATGAAACTCGAGTAATCAATAAATGAAATGTCATCGATGATCTATCGTTTATTTATGATCTATACTATTCCGAGGCAATAAAATAACTTTACTCATATTAAACTAGATTTAACATACCCACACTCTACTAGATTAGTGTCAGTGACGTCATCGGTTAAAGAGAACTTATGAACATATAATATTGAATCGACTTCTTTTAGAATACATATTTCTAGAAAAAAAATGAACTTTGCAAGCGGAAAATACTGTCAACATTTTTTTTTTCTATAGGATAAACTTTGTGGAAGAAGACATTGAAGAATTTTTAACGAATACATACTTCTTCTAAAGAGCTTTTGCACATTGGACATTGAACTTGTGTATTATCTATAGAACGAATAAGACATTCACGACAAAAAACATGACCACATGGTGTTGTTACTGGAAACCATAATAAACTGAAAAACGAATTAATTTCAGTAACAACATTGAAAAAATGATATGTCTCCTACTTGACACATATAGAACATTCCAAGTCTCTTGCTCGTAAATATCTGCAATCGAACAATGTACAGAGACATGCGGCGGATGCTAGAATTATATTGATTGGAATTCGATTTAGAAAATAAAATAATCAGTATCTTACGTTTTGATCTGCACATGATTAATTTATTATCTGTAGTACCTGAAAAAATAATAGTATAAGTAGATCGAAAGAATATTTTCACTTTCTTCAATTAGACAACAGTAAACAATGGCTTCCTGTTTTACTCAAAGCGTCCTGTAGTAAGGTCAGCAAAGGATACATTCTTTTCTGCGTGCGTAGTTTATGAAGAAGAAAACTTTTGTCAACAACAAGAATAGTAATAATAATACCTGGTTAGATTCATTTTTACTGTATAATTGCATTTTATGTATCAATATCTCAATATAGAACTAGCAATTATTTAGCTCTCTGAGATCAAATCAACATATTCTGTTAACTCTATTTTTTATGTTCTAATGATGATTAAGTGTTTGAATTCGATGATCTTCAATTATTATACTCGAGGCTATAATCTGAATTCCGCTTGTTCATTTAGATACTTTGATTATTAAGGAAATAATTATCTAATCATTGAATATATTTGATTCTTACCCGATGTTATCATTTCCATTCTATTATCATCCTTCGTCAGTCGTAGATTATCTAATGCCATGTCATTTGTTAATGCGAGCTCTCTACTATCAGTATCGTGTAGCACACCATGAAGATGCTGAAATAAGATAGAAAAAAAAAACATTTTTGATAAAAAAACAAATCATAATTCATTACTTACTCGTGCCATTATTTGTTTCCCTATTTGATCTTCAGGGTCAATTAAAAGTCCTTGTAGTGATGATAATAATGCCGGCGTGAAATGTTTCATTTCGAATAATATTTCACTGCGACAATAATAACTCTGAAAACACAACAAAATAATTTTATTTTTCTAACAAAAAGCTCTCTCTCACTTTTGCCCATTGTGGTTTAACTTGTATCACTCGTTTGATATCAGTAAGAGCTCTATCAATTTGATTTAACGCTCTATATACTTTAGCTCGGCCATACAATGCAATATGATCATCATCATCTGAAGAACAAAAAAGAAAATATTTACAGAAAAAACAATCAATTTTCCTTACATTCGTTCAATATTTTTGAATAGATATCGATTGCTTTTTCATAATTATTATTTTTGTATTCATTCTGTGCTTGATGACATAATAGAATATTATCACGTTTGAATTTTAATGATGCGGTTCGTTCGATTAATTGTTTTACAAAATGATTTTTACTATAGTTTTTTTCTCTTGCATTTACAATTGGAGATTGTATTTGACCTTGTATATCTTTTGAACAACGTAAACAGTTTATTGATATTGAAGAAAATTCATCGACTTTGATACATTGCTCACAATAGGTATGGCCACAATAGAGCGTTATCGGTTCATATATTAAATTTTCACAAAATAAACAAATTAATGGACAAGTAGTTATCGATTGCATGACGGAGGACATTTGTTCTATGGCGATTTGTTGACAGATTGGTTCAAGTTCAGTAATTGTATAAGAAAAAAATGGCGCGTCAGGTCGTTGAAGATCCAATAGAAATTGATGAGAAAGATTGATTATTGATGACTGTTTTACTTTAGGGGTAAATTTTTTCCGATAATTTTTTTTTAATGCTCGTTCGTGACGTCGAACCTGAGATTTTTTATTTTGTTGATGGCAATTATTAGATAACATTGTTGATTGAACTGAAAGTAGGCGACCATTTGGCAGCAAATGATACGAATACTTATGATAAAATGTTTTCTCTTTCTTCACGTCTATATATATATATAGTAGATTCTTGAAACAGAAAAAAAATCGTCCCAGGACAAGAAACAACTGGTTACGTGAGCACTGTGTCTACCGCTCGTTCTGTCTTTCTTTTCTGTTCTCGCCCGTTTTGACTAGAGCACTTCTTTGTATTTTGCTCGCATTACCCTCTCCATGTCCTTGTAAGAATGATTACAACATCATATATATATTATATATTCATATATATATATATATATATGCTTACTGTCCCAGTACGATTGTGTAATCAATTTTCTATGTAATATTACTATCTGAATCTCAAAGCCCTGTTTGTGTTTTTCCTCGATAGGAAACAAAAAGAATTTTACTGTTCCCACTACTTATACCAATCAAAACAAGATACATCGTCTCTCAGATATATTTATTCACCATATGATTATGTAACGAAAAAGAGAGCGCAGGAAGTATTTCATAAAAAAGAGAAAAAAAAATCTTTTAACGAATAAAATCACGTACCAAGAATGATCACGTAATTTTGTATGATAGAAATAAAGAGCGAAGTAACCTAACGTAGCTAGCTGTGATGTAATCGACTAAAAGAAAATTTACCCTTGGATTGCAACTTGCAAAAGAAGCCTTCACATAAAAAATCATGTCTATTGCATAACCTATAGATTTCATAATACGAACTCTTTTTCTTTGTACAAGTTGATTGTTTAAATACTTTACTATTCGTGCATAGGATAGAATTGATTGATAATTTAAAAAAAAAAAAGATTTTTATTATACTACGTCTAAAAAATGAAATCATTTTCGAAATTTTCCATTGTGCTTTTATTATATTCACACACATGAATAAAAAGTGGATGAAGCAAACATCTTGTATCTACAGTAGCTTCGTAAATAAACAAAACAATTTATGTATATCAGTGAATGAGAAAAAAACTAAAAAAAAACACTCTTTTTCGTGACACTATGAGAATTCATTTTCGTAGTTGTTTACAAAAATTTGCGGCGAGGTGTCGTCCTTTATCTAGGAATTTATTTCTTGATAGATCAGTTCTTTTCTTCTGTGATACCGATGATGATGAATGGTAGTTTTGCAGTGGTAAATAATTCACACCATCTGGCATTGTACGTGGACCTCGTCGGATCCATTTATCATGTCCATTTATATGAACTAATTCAAGGTACCAGGAAAACATTTGATTACGATCAGCAAAACGAAACGGTACACCGAATATTGTTTCTTCATTATTGGATTCATTTGTTTGTGGAGGTAAAATCGACAATACACGATATTCATTCATATCGAATGGAGTAACAAATCGACAGTCAGCTCCAATGTACAAATAGATATCCTCAACAGACCACGAATAAATTAATGATTGTTGATCTAATATATTTAGGATTGGCTCTTGTTGATTGGCATTTAATTTCACTTTAACTGCTTTATCATTAGCGTTATTCAATATTCGATAAATCTTAAGCTAATTAAAAGACAAAAATTATTATTCTTTTTGCATAGAGTTTGAAGAGAATCCACAGAAAATGTTTTTTCCTATTTTAAAGATCATAGATGATTATTAGAGAAAGAAAACACGGTAGATTACTGCTTGTGGATTTGTAACAAAGAGGTTCTCACTATTTTTTTTCTACTGGAGAGGAACAGAAACAAATTGCATGCAAAGTTCAAAAGAAGTCGACATTCTTTTTATTTGTAACAAGCACTCTAAGAATAAACACACTGAAATCGACAGCGTTTACATAATAACCGTTTTTTTTTTGAATGCAAATTACACAACGCTTTCTGACTATTCGCCCACGTAAGGTAAAATCAAGAGGATAAAACATAAAAACTTCTATGTATTGCGAAATAGAATATTAAAAAATTAATAAAAGCAGTATCGAGCATGACTGCATTTCATACCTTATTAACTCCAATCAACACTTATTCTAGGAAAGAGTTAGCATGCAAAAAACGACCTATCACACTAATTATTATCTTAAAATACATCATGTTGTTTTTTAGTGTTAAAAAAGGGTCCGATATTGACCAATTCATAATTCAAAGTAATTATGAACATGCTCACGTCATATAGACTTTTATGAATGATTTTAAGAGCCATTTTAGATAAAATCGTACGATTAGCCATCAATTTCAACATAAAATCTTTGAGCACAATGGCGTTTTTATACAATCAAACATGCAACGAATCAAAAGAAAAATATTTTTGTTGTTTTCACATAATATCGCTGTGTTTTTTACGCTAGTTGAAAGAAAACAAATAGAAAAGATAATCAAAAACTTTTGTCTACACAGCATAAACTATTTGAACAGACAGGTTTGAAGAAAATAAATTGACCTATCAGAGTAAACTCGCGGATACGATCATTCGTGAAGCGAAAAAATAATCTTTTTAAACTCGTTCTAATCAGAGAAAAAGATAACCGATGAGTTTAAAATAGCTTTCAAAATAAAATTTATCATGTAATGTAAGTCACCCGGAAACAGGTCAAATTCATTAATGTAAAGTCTTCTCGATTCATTATTACATTCTTTTTAATAAAGAAACTTAAATAATAAATCTAATTAGTCACAGCTTTTTTAATTCTGCAGGATCTAATTCCGATGTAGTATATTAAAAAAAAATAGAATTCTTTAGACGTACATTTTCAGATAGATAACAGTATTCTATTCGGTCGTCTACCAATAGAATTTTATCAAATAAATTTTAAAGATAATTTTGAGATAAAATAAGAATAAACAATAAGTTGATGTAATAAATGTAGAAAAGCAAATAAAATAAATTCTTGAATTCATTACTACAGAGAAAATGCCTATAGTAATACTCTTGCTGAAATTCGTTCTCATGCGTCTGGACATCAACAACAGAGATAATCCTAATTGAATGAATACAAGAATAATCTGTAAACTCGTAGACTGAGTTAATTAGCTAATTTTCGTTAAGAAAGGATTCTTCTCGCAGTTAGCCTCTATTTGTGTATAGCTTGTATAATGTTCTGTCAAGATTCAAATGTATGGCGCCCCTCGAGTTTTTCAATGCTCCAAATCAGAAGATCATCGTGAACTTTCAAGAAATATCTACACGCGCCATAGAGTATCGAGCTTTTTTTTCTTGTCTATAAATAAATAACTTACAACGGCTCTTTCAAATATCCATATGCATGATGTCCATCGCTGATTCGATGAATCGAAATATTCACATTGAACTGATTGATTATTAAATGTTTGTTGTCGTTGTTCTAAGCGTTCCTTTTCAAATTGAACATAATTATGTTTAACGACAAAAGTCGCTTGTCGATTTAATTCATGTGATAAATATGTTCGATAACGATGGAAAACTTCTGAAATATTTTCACACGAATACATTGGTCGTTCGAGATTTTGATCAATAATAACTTCAAATAAAGCCCAAAAGAAAGAATCATTTGTATTAACTTTGGTTAATAATTTATCAATGATTGTATCAGCCGTTGTTTCTTTCTCAAAAACATACATAGCATAGCCATTTAATTCATCGGAACGAGACTCAAAATAAACTGAAAACAATGCGCCTTCTAATCTGCGTGGACTAGATGGATTATTACGTATCGAAACTAATGTTTCTATGCATGTTTTTTCATGTTCGAATTCTTCATCGGTTACATCGAATAAATCCGCGTAGTAATGAAACAGATTAGTCAAAATTTCCAGATCGGCTTGTATCGAGGGTGCAACATGAGCGTAGCTTTGTGTTAATGGAAATTGAGGTGATGTTGAAATCGATGCTATGGAATCACGAATAGCTAAAAATAGGAAAACTTATTTCATTTTGATTCAATTTTCTCCAAAAAAAAAAGAATCATTCTTACAATGAAAAGATCGATTTCGCTGAATTTTCCTCAATGATGGACTATTGTATGGGCTTATTCGATCTTGTTGAACTGCTTCATTTTGATTTCTAAAACGTCTCATATCCATATCATCAACTGATGTTACGTAATCATCTTGCATTCCATAATTCGAATTCGTTGGCATTGTTGCCGGCTGAGATACAAGACATGGTCCAAATGTCGCAATAAGATTCGATAGAGTCATTGAATTGACATCCGATAGCATAGCAACAGTATGTATATGCATTAGTATTGATCTTAATGTCAAATAATTGACTGGAAAGTGTTGCTTTAAATTTTTAAGTAATGCACGATAATATTGTATTAATTGTTCGCTAGTCATTGTAACATCAACCGTTGAACGTAACCATGCTTGATAATTTTGACGTGTTCCAAGTAATGGCAATTCTAATTGACGAAGAAAACGTTTTAAAGCATTAGCAACATCGTGTTCAGTATAATTTTCACGTGTTAACGTGGTAGTAAATGGATCATCGAGGCATTCGTTTAATAATTGTTTTATTTTTGTTTCCTGTCCTGCTTGACGATAAATACCTGAATTTAAAAATAGAATAGTTTTCACGAAAATTACGATGAATATTTCAATAGTGACCGTTGACGAGAGAAAATAATGGAATTTTAGCTGATTGATAAAATCCCACCTGAAAATATTCACATCTTAGCAGGAATTTAAGTTACTATTTTGTCATGCTTCTATTTTCTACAAATATACTGTAGTTTCATCGTTCGCAAAATTTTTGTGAAACAATACTATCTAATATATCAACTGAGAAAGTAATGTTTCTCTGTAGTTAAATTTGATGGTTGTCAGAGTTTATTACACATTCTACCTCGCATTACTTAAACCATATTAAAGAAAATTGTATAGAATAGATCTATATTTTCATGAAATATGAATCAATACAAAATTGTTTTTTGTATGTTCAGATTTCTCTCGCGACTCATTGTATTTGATTTATTATTTAACTTGAATCATATTCTTAATCAAGGACCGCATAAGCTGGGGGTGGGCGAAGTGCACGACCACTGGTCTTAATAGAGAGACAAGATAGTCACCTTTCGATAGTAAACCGTGTTCAAAAAGAAAGTTAATAAATCTTTCAACGATAACCGGTATATTCTGTGATGTTAATATTTGTTCATTTAGATTTGCTAATGATTTAACTTTAATTGCTTGACGAAGACATGAATATAATATATCCATTAGTTTTATAATTGGCGATGATAAATAGAGAAAACGATTTGAAACAAGACATAGAACAACACCTGTAAACTCTTTTGCTTTTTGATAAGCTAAATAGAAATCAATCGATATAATGCATTAATAATAATAAACTTACTTAAACTAGAATATTTTCTTAGATCAACTTCATCAAACATTCGATCTGAATAAATAACAAAACGTCCGGGATACACAATTCCTATAACTTGCTGTTTTTCAGCATTTACTCCTTCTTGAATATTTAATTTCATTAATAGAATAAAATCGGAATATATCAATTGATAATAACAGTATTGCCGTTTAATTATTTCACGTATCCACAAGGAACGTTCAAGATCATTTGGAAAAACCCATACATATTCATTTAGTGAAGTTTGCTCATCGACAACTATTGAACATTGACTATTTGTATTGATTATTGGTGCAGTAGTTAAACGACATTTCAATGAAACAGCATTAACTGACTGGTTACATATAGCAAGTACATTATTTAAATCAATTTCCAACAAACATCGTTGAGGTTTATCATTAGTACGAGCTGGAGCATAAACTTTGAGACGATCATTTTCATAACGGGTTAAGAATTCTTTAAGAACTCCATGTTTACTTGATAGATAAACAATACTTTCATTTACATCATCGATGTTTGTTTTCGTTACATTGAATTCAGCTAAACCTAAAGAGAAAAGCTGTTAGCGGAATTCCTGTGGGATTAAAATGTGAAACACGATGAAACTTCTTTTCTGGAGTTCGTCTATCACTGTCACTAATGGTCTGTGGAGTTTCTCTGTTATGGTCTGTATTATGATATATGGAGTCTCTAGAAACCATCATAGACCGTGACAGAGAAATTTATTTATTTATTTCTCTGTCCGGGTCTGTGGGGGAGGGGATGGGTCAAAATTTCTACCCTATATACTTCAACACTCCCTTCAGATCGTGTTTCACAAAAATGATATGATTATCCAATGTGTCTTAGGCTGATAAGCATCAGAAAATCTCGTTGGTGTTTTTTGATCTACACAGGAATATCAAGCTTATTGTAAAATAATAATATTTTTGTTTCAAATAGTTTTTTGTTGGCAGAATATAGACTCATTCGAACTCATAACCTTCGAAATTTTATTAATTTAAGAATGATTATAAAATAGCAATCATAGAAAGTAAGATGATAAATCAAGCAATTAGTCTATTTTTGTATAGAAGAGAAAAGCAGCTGGTGTTTTAAATTTATTTTTCTTATTCATTCGTTCATGTGGAAGATTTACGTTGACGATGCATAGAATTTCGACAATCGATAGTCAGCTGTTTCCCTCTTAATATCAATAAATTACTTAATAAAACTAGAATAACTCGTGTGTGTTTTGAAATTAAAATGAATAAAAACAAAAAAAAAGACAATCGTTTACCTCCATTAGCTAAAATAACTTTCATTTGTTTGATTTGTTGATGTCGTTGAGCTTGATCTGCTGTAGCAAAGTTCTTTTCCGAATAATTTGTATCAGCTCCTAACATAATCAAGTGTAATGTAATTTTATAATCAGCTGTTTCAACATTTTCATATAACATTTTGTTCAGTTGATCTTGTGTATATGCATCACGATTTAAATCATACGGTTTAAGAAAACCTTTTTCTACATATTTTTTTCTTATGTATTGTTTACGTTCGAATTCTGATGAATCATTATTAGGTTTAGAATCTTTTGAGCAACCATATTCTAATAAGCTATTTGAATATCTATTACCATAATCATTAATTAGGTCAATTAAATCCCAATCACAAGTAGTACTAATCAAGGATTGAAGAAGCAGGAATTTCGAGGTTAAACGATGATGAATAGCTATAGAAAATAGAAGAAGTGTAAGGAGAAAAAAAATTGCAAATGAACGTACCAGCACATTTTTTGCATATCACTAAAAGCCAAGACATGATGGCAATTGTTGGATATTCGGCATTACAATCAGCGCACACACGATTACTCGGATTTTCTTGTACTCGATCGATATAAACTGTTGTTGGATCTGAATTGATAGAGAAAAAAAAACAATTTCATAAATTTAAATAAATTCTATCTCGGAATTTTCAAAAAGCCAATAGTTCTTTTCTTTACTTGGTAGAATTGAATCATTATCACCATCGTCGTCGTCATCATCGTGTAATGATGAATTTGAAAATTTTTCAAGTAAATTTGAAGCTGAATTCGATCGTTTATCCATTTGACCAGCTAGAAATCTAAAGAACAAGAAATGATGATTGTGAATATTCTGCAGGTATTGCTGAGATATTTCAAATTTTACCGATTATTTATTTCATAATTAGATCTTGATTGATCGTTTTGCTCATGAACATTTGAAATGGATAAATTATTTTCTGCATATTTCTGAAAAATAAAATGAAGTGATTCATAATGACTCTTTTAATTAAATGAGAAATCTCAGCGGGACTCAATAGCTTCAATCAACTAATAATCAAACATTTTTATTTTTGCACATCAAATATAGAGCAGCTCTTAAAGAGAAAAAAATCGAAGGAGTTACTTTTCTTTTTTCTTCTTTTTCATTCCTATGATGTAAAAATGTTATTCAAACATTCAGTTTTTGATGCATTCAGAAATAAGAAAAAAAGAAATCATTGAGAAATTATTTACCGATAGTAATGCCTGTTCGAATGAAGAATAAGAGTTTGAATTAGTCACTGAATCATCGTCAAATACGGAAGATGTTACATAGAATAGAGTTTTATCAGATGGATTTAATAAATTTGAGCCATGATTACTATTTTCTTTTGCTAAATGCGCTAGAATATTTTTTCGATTTAATGACACAGGTTGTATTGGGCGGAATGTAACATTACAATCATTATTACTCGGATTGTTTGATGCAGCTTGTTCATTCGAAATCGCATTTACGTTTCGATCAATATGTGAGCCTATTTTTAGGAAAAAAATCCGAACATATAAAATGAAAGAAAAATATTTAGCGTATGGAGCCTTCTTCTCACCCTGGAGAACTGCATTTATTCTACGAAGACATAGAGGAGTAATCAACATAGGTAATAGAAGAATTAATCTTTTAATAAATATTTGTCGCCCGAGCGTATATAATATGTGAACACTGCAGGAGATGTTAATGGCAATGTTTCTACTCAGCGATTAATGATTACAACAGCAAGGTCATGCTATGTTAAGGATATTAATCCTGGCTAATAAAAACTGTTCGGCATTGATTCTGACAAATTTTTGTATGCGGCAACCATCGATGTCTCTGAAAAAATAGTTCCTCCGATGACATTGAATGTATCCTTGTTTTTTATCATATCAAAGTATTGTTTAGAATTCAATGACACACATAAGTACGAGAAAGAAAGTTTATACTATTAAGTATTGGTGTCAAATCTTTTCTCTACATATTACTGTGTGATAAAATATGTGTACAAATATTTTATTTTCGTCTAGAAAGTGAAATGCAAAAACTAATTTACCCTCGAGTGGTACAGGATCATCAAGATCCACAGTTGTTGGTGTTATTCGACTTCTAATGATAGGTGCTGGTCGCTTTTTTAGACCAGAATTTGATGGAGGAGGTTCACAATGGGAATTAATTGAAGAATCCATCTAGAATAAAACAAAAATTCATGTCCAAACAATGAAATAGATTACACCGTTGCGCATCCAGTAAAGAAAAACTATCACAAAAAAAACAAGAAAAAATATCAAATGTTAGTTATTTTCGTTGGTTGCTGTAACTGGATTTCCGGATGAAAGCAACTGTTGACGAATACGTTGAGCATCTAACGAATGAGAATTCATTATACAAACAAGATCTTGCCAACGTTCACTGTCACGCGTTTGTCGATAATAGTTATAGGATTGAAGATGTTTCTTTTTATGATATTCACTTTCTTTTTTTTCAAATTTCATTGTTACTAGACTTCCGACTGGGTCTGGTTTATTTTCTTCACTTTCACTGCCAGACTGTTCGCCATCACTTGCATTGATGTGTTCATCATCAATTAAATTTGTTTCTTTGTTTGACGTTAATCCACTTGTTGCAGTTAATGGCACATCAAGGTAAGGAAATTGTGGTCGAAATTGTATGATCGATTTTAATGGACAGAGCGTTAAACTACGAGTTGTACTATCAAAGATCCCAACAAAATAACGATCACCTAAAATAAACAGAAGCTTCACATCTATTATATTGAAGATTACATCCTCTTGATTTACATAGAGATAATTCATATAGAGACGATCGTATGAGCTACGAATACCCTGAAAAGACATCGTATCGTTCTTATCCGAGAATTATATAGAGACAAGCGTTAATAAGAGCGGTTTATTTTGAAACTCACAGGTCTTTTGATTTCCTTCTATGTTAAAATAAGAATATAACAGTTGACGGTTTTATGATTGATATGAAAGACATTTGCTATTATCATAGATGTACATGAAACTAGAAACATCGGAAATATTCACAGAAAACTATTCGAGTGAGTCGCTACCTCTTGTACACATTTTTAACTGAAACAGCATTCATTTCGAAAAATCTTTGTCTGACATTTGACTTAATAGAATTCTATCGATGAATAATATTTTATACAGCCCAATCGTGCAAATCATATTCTCAATTGCAGCTCGTAAAACGAAAATACCAACTGTTTAAATTGTCTAAAAATAACCCAAATCAAAACATGCACAACTTGCATCCTACAGTCTGTCAACAGATGATATTTACTCAAGGAAAATATCAGCATTCAATTTAACTTCAAAAGTTTCGAGCAGTTTTTGTGATTTGAAGAGAAATAAATGTCTACAATCATGTGTGTGTTTTAGTTTCACGTATCAGCTGATAACATAAAGACAAATGATGTAAATAGATTATGACTAAGATTTCACTATTTATCTTGATTGCAGTATGTAAACTTGATTGTAGAAATGATTCTCAAACGATCGTATAAAAAAACAATAGCTTTTCTATTACCATCAGATGCATTGGATGATGCAATTGTTTGTTTATCCATGCGATCGCTGTTAAAAAGTTGACTCTTATTTTCCTGATTTGTAGTATCAGCAAATTGTTTTCCTCTCGATAACGAATAATTTGGTGATTGTGTATCAACAAGTAAATCCATTTCTACAAGGGAGTTTTTCTCTTTAATTCTTGCACTTGTAAATAAGTTTTCATCATATATTCGATAATGAGGTCGAATCGGATGTTGAAATATGTATATCGATTGTTTGGTTTGGTGGACTTCAACATTGATTTCATATAAAATTTCATCATTTTCATCGATATCCATTGATGGGTCACTGTTACTCATAATGAAAAGTAATTATAAGTACAAATCGTATGACAGCTAGAAAAACAGGACTGTGCTTTTTCATACACCGAAAACTAGTTTCGAATCACTGAAGCTATTCGGAGAGCCAATCGGGATACTTTGAAGTTTACGCCAATCAAGAAAAGAACATAAAATACCTCTCATCCTCCACAGTATACCTAGCTATTTTTCCTAACAACCGTTACAACACTGCAATAACGTTCTCTCACTTATATAGCGGGTCTATTTCGATATTGAACAACACTATATACATACTAAAAGCCAGTTATTCAACACCCACAGAAAATTCCCCTAAGAAATAATCATACTGATGCCAATGACTCTCCTTCAGATCATTTAGTCGGAATAATAATGAATATAAGTCGACTAAACTAGCTCAAATGTTGAAAAACAAAATCTTACACATGAGAGCAGCACCACGGCAGACTCAAAAAAGCATAAACCCCATCGTTCTAGTATTCTTCTAGAGAATGAAGACAAAAAACTTGGTCACATAGTATCTGATTCATCTTCAAGGTATCCCGATGACATTTATTTTGTCTCGATGAACTTTGAACAATTAAATTATATCGTCCACCGTATTGAATACGTATATCGACCTTTCTCTATTTCCATTAAGATCATCATTCGAATAAAAGAAACATGGTTTCATTGCAGAATATTATTTCAAAAACAAAAAGGAGAAATCATTTCCATATTGTTTTAGTAAGTCAAAAAGAGCATCTAATAATTTATTTCTAAAACGTCAGAACAAATGAATCGAAATACAGCTCTTCGGTCGGTTCTAACAAAGTGACACAACCAACGTTAATGCTGTGTGAGTCATTGAGAAAGCAAACAATGTGGCGACACGTAGCTGAATTTTTTATTTGTACGAAGTATTCAACCATTAAGAGAATTTCTTTTTTCAATTTAATATTCATTTTATTTCAGGAGAAAATGTTCGACGGATTACCTAGTGAATATGATATTATTGTTGTTGGAACTGGTAATTTGATTGAATTTTTTTTCTGTAATTTTCTATAAAATATTTTTCATATAGGGATAGTCGAGAGTATTCTAGCATCTGCTTGTGCTCGTATTGGAAAGACTGTACTTCATGTTGATACGTAAGATATTCTGAAGAAAAGTTTAAAAGAAAAAAAGATTTTCTTAATATAGGAATGAATACTATGGTTCGGAATGGGCATCTTTTCCGTTAAACGGTTTAATAGAATGGGCTCAAATGCAGGAAAATCCTGCGGTAAATCAATAAATACTTAAATTTATTATCTGTATACTGTTTCGTTCTTTTTTCGCTAGACAAATGTCGATCCACAAGATGACAATGAAAAAATTATGCCAATTTCTAGTCCATTGAATGTTTTTCGTAATGTGCAATTTAAATGGAATATTGAGTAAGAATTGAGATTTTAAGACAAAAATCTTATATTCATATTTATATTATTTATAAAGAAAAACTAATGAACAAGCATCGACAACTGAAAATGAAACTCCGAAAATCACAATAGATGTTTTAGAGAAACAATCAAGGAAATTTAATATTGATTTAATACCAAAAGTAAGTATGAATAAAAGTCTCGCGAAATTTTTTAATTCGATAATTGTACTATAACAAAAAAAAGAGAATGAAGAATGGGAATATCTTTTATTCGAACATCTGGTTATTTCTACTTCTAGCTTTATTATGCAACGGGTGGTCTTATTGATCTTCTTGTTCAATCTAATGTGGGTAAATATTGCGAATTCAAGCTTGTTTCTCGCCTTTTATTGGAACGGAATGGACAACTTGATAATGTAATTTGAAGACGAATATTTAAATCAAAATGAAGAGTTATGCTTATCTATCTAGGTACCAAGCTCACGATCGGATATATTTAATTCAAATGATATTAGTCTTATCGACAAACGATTACTCATGAAAGTTATTATGAATTGTTCATCAATGGCTATAGAAGATTTAAATGAAGGTAGACTTGATTTATGAATCTTAAAAAGTTTAATTCATGAATTCTAGATGAAAACATTCCATTTATTGATTATTTAAAAAAACAAAAATTAAATGATACACTTTGTCATTTAATTATTAATTCCATATCAATGGTTGATTATAATGCAACAACCAAAGAAGTACTAATTTTTAATCTCGTCTTCATAACCATAAAACAATCTGAATTTAGGGCGTAATGAAAGCTAAACGATATCTCGAGTCTATAGGACGCTATGGTAACTCACCATTTCTCTATCCACTCTATGGAAATGGCGAAATGAGTCAATGTTTTTGTCGTCTATGTGCTGTTTTTGGTGGTACTTATTTTCTACGTTTTCCATTAGCTGGTTTTACCATTGATTCATCAACGAATCAATGTTCTGGTATTGTGGCCACGACAAAAGAAAGATTTCGTGCTAAAGATGCTGTTATTTGTAATCATGCACTTATGGACTCGATATCATCCAATAGAAATGTTATTCATCGTATGGTTTTAATTACAAATCAATCGATCAAATCAAGTGAAAAAGACGAAGTAAAATGAAATTCTAAAGTTTCAAATATCTTATTCTATTATGTATTGTAGATAACATATCTTCGTCTTAGTGGTCCAAATGAATCCGGAATTCATATCATTGAAGTTGGCCACGGATCAGGATGTACACCAGATGGATTTTGTATGTAAAAGAAAAACTTCTTTTTTGTGCTTACAAAAAGTAGTGCGCGGAGTATATTAACGCCTTATGTGATCTTGTAGGAGAAATTTGTTCTGATTTTTGTCTCTCTCGGATCTCCTTCGATGAAAACATATTGATTCATCTAAATACATAAACGTCTACTCAACCAGAAATCATCTCTCCGCTGAATTTTCTTTGATATATTTCTAATCAGAGTTTTGATTTTCTATTTTTTTTAATGTTTCAAATCCTTACTTGACCTAAATAAGACCATGAAAAAGTGCTGTTATCCAAATAAAATCTCATAAATGAAAATGATTACAATAGAATGTAAATCAATTCATGAATTCAACGAAAATTAAGTCGAATGAACTTGCTTCTATAGTTCGTTTTTGTTTTGTACCACAACTAGAAATCAGAAGAGAAGAAACTACATATGAAAGACAAGATATAATCTTATACTTACATTATATATTATAATTCAGTGGCCTTGCTGAATTTGCTTTGTTTCAAAAATTTAAAAGACTCGATATGCTTCTTTTTATTTTTAGTTCTTTTGTATATTTTCCAAGAAAAACCTGATGAAAATATCAATCAGATTATTGAACGCTTGTTAAAGTTAACAGGAGGTTAGCTGTTTAGATTTATTAATTCAAGATGTGATCGATATTTTCTTACTTCTAGACCAATTTACTCAAAGTAATATTCTTGGACAATTAACATTTGATCAAGTAGAAACAATATCATCGTCAGCACCATCATTAATACTAAAACTTTTACTTGCACATGGACCCGATGGTTCTATTAATCATGATAGTGCTGTGAATACGGTTCGTTTTTAGTTTTATTTTATGATTAATTTTTATACAAAAATTTTAGGCTCGAACAATGTTTTATCAAATATATTCAAATGGTGAAGAATTTTTAGCACGTGCACCTGATCCAGAAGATATTATTATTGAAGATGATGGTAATGCAAGTAATACTTCTACCTTCAATACGAACGTTGAAGATGAAAATTCTACTTTGAATACTGATGCCGACAATGACGCTTCTAATTCGAATACCAATGCCGACCAAGAAACTTCATAAACACTGTTTCGATTCCATTTTTATTCTTTTCTATAATAATAAATTATTTCTTTACTAGTCATGAAAAAAAACCGAATCCTTCTATTCAAAAATGAAAATATTATTTGATTAGCTGTGCTAGTGATAGATACAATCACACTTGCATTTTTACCGCACATGCGAGGCAACGATTTTGCGCATAGCTGGCATCGATTCTATTAGGAATGAATTTCGCTCACTGTCCTTTTTAAAGAATTCATTCATTTATATCGAACCCTCAAAATGTTTTTTCAACTGTTAGACAATCCATCAACACATTAGTTCCTGCAGATCAGCATTTCAATTGTCACATTACAGTCACCATTAAACATGAATTGATTCATCGAAAGTATCTATATTAGAGATCAGTACAATAAAAACAATTGAAATTTGTCTTTCTCGTTTTCATTAGCTGCAGGACACGATAACAGATTAAAATTACGTAGAAGTAACAAGTGATCTCGAATATACTATACATCAATCGCAACAGTTAATAGATATATTTTAAAATTTAAACGTGACTCATTCTATGATTACTATAATGGATCTTCCTGATGAAATGATACTTGCCATTTGAAATACACTTGATAACATTGAAGTACTTTATTTATTTGTGGGTTTTAATAAAAGATTCGACAAACTAATTAGTTCGAGATTCTACTTGCACTCGTTCAGTCCAACTAGCAACAAGAAGTTCGAAAACAAACAGATATTGCTCATTACCGGATTCAATACTCGATCGATATTGTTCGAATATTTTACCTAGACTAAATCATCATATAGAATGTCTTATTCTAGAACCATTTTCTATGAAACGCATTCTTCTCTCTCTAGCGATTATTCTTGTTTGCAAAAACTTACTTTTACTAGAATAGGCGAAGATTTCGTGCTACAACATTTTAATGGTAACATCTATTTTTTTGTTATTGTTCTTCTTTGTATTTTGAATAAAAAACTATTTGTTTTCTAGATAAATCGCTATTGATAGAAAATTTTCGAAACAATATCACACACCTTGTTCTCACCATTGATGTGCAAGGATTCTCCTCGGCATCTTATCCTAGTTTGGGCGAACCATTACTCACGCGCATCTTTCACACATTCCCAAAACTAACCGATCTTGATTTTAATCAAAATGATACCGAGGGTCGCGTATTGATATCTATTTATGGATTTTCTTCGACAATCAATTACTCATCAAGTCTATTCAGGTTAAGTATTAGTGTAAGAACATTAGATGATTGGTTATGTGCCTATTCGACGGTCAATTTCGGCAGTTGCACCATTTGTATGTTCTAGTTGAACAAATCGATACACCAACATTGACTATAAAAAATTTGTTAAGAAAAATAAATTAATATAAAAGTGTATCAGCCAGGCTTGCCGAGCAGGG